GTCGGGGAGAACCATTTCTTGACTTGTGGGAAGATGCACTTGTAGATGATCATGACAATCACCACTAGTCCTGCCGGCAGCACGAGGGTCTGCGAGAGTTCAATGGGTGACTTTAATGGCATGAAGTCAAACTCAGCCGCACATGTGTACAGCATGGTGTGGAAGTCGCGGTAGTCAGAGAACTTGGAGCGCAGGATGTTGGCGATGTGAGCATCATCTGTGACATTCAGCACTTTAGATATCACAATCTTCAGTCCGATGCACCCGGCGATGAAGAAGATCCCCTGAAGCGCCATGACAGCAATACTGAAAGTCTGCCTCTGCAGAAGTGGCTCGAAGGAAACAATAGCCATGACAGTGAGAAGGCAAGAAGCATAGAAGGATGTCAGCAGCATTTCATTGCCAAAGAGCAGGACATAGCTGACCATGAGCCCCCAGGATGTGTCCTGTAACGATGGTCTTGACCCTGTCTGCGGGGATGAAGCCCATCACATACACCAGGAACACTGCAGTCATCTGTGTCAGCAGGGCAAACTGTGCAAACTGCCAGGGCAGGATGAAGGTGATGTTACAGGCAGCCAGGAGCACGACGTGCTTCCAGCCAACGCTGCGACTTCTCAGCATGCGTGTGACAAGGAACATCTGCAAGGCCAGCATGGGGAAAGCGAAGCTCTCTCGGAGCGGAGGGGTCCACTGCACACGGGTGCACTCCCCGTGGTTAAAGAAAAAGGACGCTACAGTTAGAACACCACCAACCATGCTGCCACTGAGATAGGTACCAAAGATGAAGAACAGGCCCATCATCAGACCATTCTGTACAAACACTGAATTAACATAGAAGTAAGCTGGCTCTCCCATCCCCTCGCAGCTCTGTACAGGGGACATCCCCTCGCCTCTGTTGACCGTCCAACACAGCTTGGTGGGGATGTCGAACATCCCCATGACGGCTTCATACGCCCTGTAGCAGGCCGCCAGCACCACCTCCGGGTACAGGTTAAACCGCTTCAGCACGTTGATGGTTGTTGGATATTCTGTCATGTTGTCGTACATCACGGCATGGAGGCCTTCCAAGAACGTTCTGGACTCTGCAATGGTTTTGAAGTAAGAGTAGTACAGCCCCTACAAGAGAGAGAAAGGAGAAAAAAGGAAAGACTAGTTAACAAAATGTGCCAAAAGATTAATTGTCCAAGCATTCTTCATGATGTTACTAGAAATTTTGAATGTACATGATATTTTCACTCCCTTTTAGCTATCCTGCAATCCTAGCTATCCTTCATTACAGTTGATTATAATACAGATAAGATAGATTTTGGGTCCACATTTATGGCTTATAAAAAAGTTGTAAGTACCCACAGAGAAACCCAATATCAAATTTCTCCTGAGCTAGAGGTTGAAAAGTCCTATATAATCCATTTCCTGCACCACAACCACAAAAAGCAGGGAACCAGATGTAACACAGAGAATGCTTCATGCTAGACTTACATGGAAAGCTCCAAACAAGGGTTAAAAGATAGCCTGAGGGCAAGAGCTTGATGTGGGATGCTGTATGGACCCTGCATTTCTATTAACACCTCCCAATTTATATATCTCGCAAAACGTCGGCCATTTCATACTCCACTGCACACGGAAAAGAAATCAAACCCAACAATAACTACAAATGTATATATAAAGTAGCATTAGCATCACTTATTATCATTCTACTGTTTACTGTTGTTATCATGTTCTTGCAATTAGCCCTCGGGCATGAATTTGCAATAAACTTTCATTATAACTCAGAATCACCACTTAAAAGGTTCTGTTGCTCAAACGAAAAGAATTTATGCTGATCACCTGTGGCAGACTGTATTGGTGTGGATACACTAACATCATATTATACAAACAGCCTGGATGATAAAAAAAACCTTGCTTGCTGGGAGGATTACATCTTGTCCATTTTTTCATCTCCAGGTAGCCTGAAATCCATCTACTCTCCTTATCTCTGGTTAACTCCAATGATAACATTCCTGGGCGCTAGTTTTATTCAAGCACAAAACCCAGGAGACTGCGAAAAGGACACAGATACCAAAGAGTCCTGTATACTGATATCCAGTGACTTTAATTTAGTCCAAACAACTAGAAGATTTTTTTACCATTTCAGTCCTAAAGGTAAGTTCTCTCTCCAAGGTGGACAGGTGGGAGAAATGGCGGTCACTCTCAAACATGCTGGAAATGTGGTATCTGCAGAAGACAAAAAATTGCAGCCATCATGTTATCGAATGTATGAGGCAAGGTCACACAAAGTACACATACAAATCACACTGTTGAAGTGTTGGTTGCTGATTTCCTACATACATCCGAGGACCAAGAAACCGAATTAGTGTGGCCTATAATAATGGCAAAACTCTGTGCTATACCATTTGAAGTAAATCACATACATGTAATTTATAAAACCATCTGTGTGTTCTCAATATGCAGTGCAGCTCAAAGTGGCACATTTCTATTCAACACCTTAACTGCATGCAGTGCTGTGAGTGTGAAAACAGGGTTGCCAGGCCCATTTCTCCAGCAGTGAACACAAGGAACTAATATGCTCTTTGGTACAAGATCACATCTGTTACACATGTTGATAAATTATAGATCAGATTATCCACCCTGCTTTTGTTAGAGGATTGGCGGCCTTTTGTGTCTGTTCGGTTGTGTCACTGTTCTTACAGGAATGAGATACAAACGTGTTGTGTCAGCTGGTGGTGCGTGCTTCTTCCATTAGAAAGGCTGATTAACTTTTGTCAGGTGGGAAGAAAAAGCCAAAAGAATGGAGGAAATTTCTTTTAGAAGTAGCATATAATATCAATAGTGTTCTAAATAAAATAGGCATGTGCAAAATCTTCCATAACCTTGCTATAAAGGCACTGCCAAAGCAATGAGTTTCAACTGCACTAATTAACTCTTTTCTTACTGCATAACCCCATAACCAATGCAAAATTTGCGCCTAATAGCTACCTTATCAGGGAGATGGTTAATCAAGCGAGGTTAATTAACACATGGGCGTGAGCACGATCCACAAAACGTCCACCCTCTGATGTCATACTACTGATGTCACACAGATCGGAGGCAAACGATTTATAGTGTTTGTCATTAGCTTGTTCAAACCAAAACGAATGACTAGGTAGAGCGTCAGTTCCTAACAGTATACATACCCAACACCACAACAGATCAGTATCTAGTGACATTGAAGTATTTAACTTATTTAAGGAGAAAAGGTCCAGACCAGAGCCAGATCGACTTTTATGAGTCGTTCATAAATGGATAATACTGCATTGGGTGTCTTACAGCAGATATCACCGAAGGTTGAACAGACAATCTGTATTATATGAAAACTTATCATGTTGCAGAACGGAGGACACAAACTATTTTCCTACTTCTAGTTTTAGTTTCCTGAACGTATAAACGTTCCCGCACTTACCCATGGAGAGCACTGAAGACGATAGCGACTACACTGATGACTACTACCCGGACTACTCCGCTTCCAAAGCCCTTGAATCCCTGAGGGAAAGTACCGTCTGTCTCCGAGGTTGACTTGGCTGTCGCCCCTGAACGGACTTTTCTGTTCTTGACCGCCATACTTCTCTACCTGCCGCCCGAAGACGTGAACGTGAGAGGACTCGTCCTTCTAGTTTCTGAACGGACTTTTTACACGTCGAACTGTGGGCGATACCAATAGGGGGAGGGTGAAACTTGCTATGAAATTACAAATGTGTGATAATAGATAGCAATATGATGAATCAAGCAAAATGAAAACACACCTTAGATTAAAAAATACCAACATTAAATTTGTTACAGTAATTATTTTCAATAGTTTTATCATGTTAGTATTATTGAAAATCTTGGATACCCTGTGCATTCTTTGGTATAACCTGGGGTCACAGTTCAAACGGGATTTCCTGCACGCCTGCTGTGTTGTTGTGTGCCAGGTGTTTTTGTGGGCGTTATAAACCCTACTTTACTTTTGACAAATACTCATGGATTTGGAAGAAATGGAGGCAGAGACCCTTGATGGAGAACCTGTCTTAGTTGCAGTTCTTGACGCGTTCAAACAGTTTCTTGACAAGGTAATAATATGAAATGTCATGGCTGAGTATGAATATCCAAGCAAGGAGGTCCAAACATAACTCTACTAGTCAGTTCTATCAGTGGAAACTGTGAGGGATTGGGAGGTAGCGTTACATAAGGGGTTATAAGTTAAGTCTAACGGTACTAATGTTTATGGCAGGATCCATACACAATTTGATGGCTGTATTGTACGGTGCCTGTCAATAAGAACCTTTGATGTTGTTGTCATGTCAATAAGAATTTAATTTGCACTCTTGACAGGATGTTTCTGTCACCAGCCCCTTAAACCTACTAACTTGCTAAGTCATATAACATTAGCAACAAAGAAACATAAACATAACTTTACATGATGTATATTTTATCAATCTGTACCACCTTTGCAGCTGAGAGTTGACCCTTCAGCTGCATCTCTCCATCTGGACAGAACCAGACTATCTCAGCAGCAGGTGGCACATGGAGTCGTGATGGAGCATCTGACTCAACTCTGCAACAAACTCCAGGTGATGTGGTTTCTCATGCTGTCATAATCATATGACTATTGGTTTTACTGTGAAATATGAGTATGCCTATAGCTTAGTTAGAGCCACCTTGACTACAGATCCTACTAGTAAGTTGACAGTCAATATGCTAGCCTGGTATCCATCTTAATTCATGACAAGTTGATGGGACTTCCTTTATTCCACAGAATTTAAAAGACACACAGACAGCAATGAGTATTGGAGATGACATTTCACTTCAGATGGAATGCCCCACACCACTGGAAGAACAGGGTAGGTTGTAACAAGGAGAATATCTTGGTCTTTAGGATTTACTAGTAGCATCATATCCAGAGAGTGAGCATGATCGTATATACGAGCACAATGAGCTAAAGAGTGCAATAGGTACATGCAGCAACAGTACTACAGCCAGGAGGAGCTTACCAGGAGTTGGTTTGAACCGTTTGATTATAGGCTTTCGAAGTTGTACCTTTTGTTAGATGCTGCCTAGAAAACTCACTAAATAAAAGGGTTACAAGTGGGTGTGATCATAGCTCAAATTGTCAATCATAATGCACTAAAATGTGATTAATGAGGACAAAGGGATTTTGTTCCTTATCCACCCATCCTGGTTTAAGTGACTTACTATCCATTTGCAAACATCTGACAGGATGAAGTCTGCCTGACCTTTAGCCTGCTGTGTGTTCAATAAATCTGAGCAGTGTGGGGGTGAAATCACTTAGAACATCAAACACAACCCCTAGATGAAATAAAAACAGCTTCTTTTTGTTGTAGTTACATGTTTCAGGGTACCTAACAGTATACTAAGAGTATCATTAAAATACAGGGCTTCAGGGGACTAACTGTGCTACCTGTGTAATCTCCTTGATCTGCTTGGAGATTACTACCTGTGCCTTCAGGCTGTGAGGAGGAAAGGGTACTTACTCGTATATTGTGCATGGTTATGGACTGAGTACAATATATTTTTTTCATTTCAGTTGTTAAAGAAGAATTCCATGACTGTAAACTTGGGGACTTACCAGAACTGCCCCTCCCAGAAGTAGACCCTAATCTGGTGCAGATCAAGGCCAGCAAAGCTGAGGTGGGGTAATGATGTGTTGTGTTACATTGTTGTAAGACATTCCCCTGACATGATTGAGGTATATTCTGGAGTTCAGTTCAAAGACAGAGAGCTTTGTATTTTCATGTACCTAATGATATGTGCCTGCATTTGTTCTTTTCTCAACTTCCTTAATGTCTTTTTTCTTCCTTGAATCTTGAAACCAACTGTCCTTTACAAAGATTGAGAGAAGAATCCAAGCTTTTCTGCAGAGGAAACAGACAGAGGTTGATGAGAACAACAGAAGAGAGTTTGGGGCTGTCAAACCCAGCCTGCCAGGTATGCCACAATGGCCAGATGGTCTAACTAAATACCCCAGATTACCAGTAGTACAGGTTTCACTGTATACGCATATGCTGGCAAAGTGCAAGTAGTAACACATCATTTCTATACTTCCAGATGGTAGCTATAGCCCAGATCACATACATAACATACCAATAATGCTGATAAGTATTGGTCAGCATAAATTAGGGATGGCATACACAAGTAACAGAGTGACAAGATTTGAAGCCTCTACATCTGACTACATGCAGGAGTCAATATCTGTCTGTTTGCTCTGTACAGAAGGTGGAAGTGTGACAGAGCCAGACTTCAGCTGTGCCAGGACAGATGCAGTGTACCAGCCACGGGTAGGCAGGAGCCACATCAGAGGTTAGTATGATATCTAATACTAGCAGGTAGAGATGATAAGTTTAGACACCCAGGTTTGAAGGTATGCATAGCCTAGATGGCACACTAACAAGTATTGGAGCACAAACAGTCAAAGGTGTGGTGAAACATGATTTTTTTAGCCAGTAGTGTAGTTTTGCTTGAGTTTCATCCCATCTCTTCTCAATAAGTGTGTTGGACTCTTTTAAAGCTCCACATACAGGGGCCGTAAACAATCTGTGTAATTGTATGTCCTTCAGTTTGCAGAGTAGTGAACCCATATGGACCCCAGACCAGACAGACACCTGTCCCCAGATCGACTACTCCCTCACAGACAGTTGTGAAGTCAGAGCCTGGTACATCACCAGCCGTGCCGTCCACAGCAGCAGCTGTGTCAGAGGGGATAGAGGAGCGGCTGAGAAACATGGAGTCTCATCTCAAGGTCAAGTCAGGTCAGTTTGTCCATTGACAGTTGCGCATGCCTCCTTAAGCTGTTTGGTAGCAAAATAATCAGCAGGGAGAAAGTTAAAACTAATTGTGACTTGTGTCCTAACACAGGAACACAGGTGAACACAGATATCTACAGCCGACTGAAGCAGCTGGAGAACCGAATCCTGCACCTGGAGGGGCTGTCACCTGAGTACTTTCAGCTGGGGGTGAGACACACTGGTTTGGGTTGTTGTCAACATTGAATTATGTAGCTGATTCTAGCGTATAACAATGTCTATAATGTACTGGAAAGTTGCAGCTCTCTCTCTCGTTATTTCAGCCGGCTATAAAGTTCCAAAAGCAGGAGCCAGGCAGCCATGTCCACCAGGTGAGGGTACTTTTTATTGCTACATGTATTTACTTTTGTACATGTACAAGTTACATGATCTATTAACAGGTTGTTCTAGATAGACTTCCAGAAAACTGTGCAGACTGCACAGACTTCTGCTTCTGGCAGATCTTTATGTGGCAAAATTGTAACTGCTGACCGGGAAGTATTATTTGTTTGGCGAGTGCAATGCCATAATTTGCTAATTGATTTAGAATAGGTTTTGCCAATAAGACACTTCAAACTGTTAAAAGTGTTGAGTACAAAATGGTTAATTAGACATTTTCTTTTTTGTGATCTTTTGCAGGATATGAGCATAGAGGAGATAGATGAGCGGATGAAGGCCCTGCGAGAGTCCCTCCTCAGTAAAAAGGACACTTTGCTGTACCCAACAACCAACACAGATGAATTCCAGTGAACTTTTTAAAGTCAGTTTCACATAAAAAAAGGCAAACATCTTGATGTACAATCAGAAGCCTGCATTTCCTCTCTGGCATAAGTTGGATGTCATTCTACAACATGGAACAATGGATTGTAAAATTATAGTAGAGTTGAATGATCAGTATTAATGACAATGTTGTTTTAGAAACCAGCTTGTACGCACATTATAATTACTGTACAGTGGGTACAATACACTTATGAGTTGTCATGCTTTACTTGGTTTGGGGAAAAGCTTGTTACTTCACATTGTCACCTATCCCATGTACATCCTGTATTCCAATAGCAAAAACCTAACACTCTTATCTTCAAAAGATTACCAACTTGTAGTGATGGTTTCACTGTCATGTCATGGTAGAAAAGGGATAGTTTAAGAAAATATGACTTTCCATAACTTCATTTATCACAGCATTACAACAGCCCCACCTACCTGCCCATGGCTTAACTGCACAAAACTATGATGAATGCCAGGCAATCATCATGATCCTGCCAATAACTGTATGACTGTAAGAACTACTCCAGAATATATGTAATATGGCCAGTTTCCTGTTATTATCAGTGCAAACTATCAATGTTTCTTTACTATTCACTTTTCTAATTCTATTTCACCATGTTACATGGCACTGTAAAACACTATAAAACCCTGTCAGCTGAATGGTATAACTCCTATTACATAGAATGTACAATTAGATGACATCCACCAAGCTCTTGTCTACATCTGTTGCCTGACTGATCTGTGTAACATACATTTTCATTGTCACATTTTCAACAGTAAATATGAAAACAAATACAAGCTGACAGAAATTGTCAGCTGATCAGATTTATTTCTTTAGATGGCTTGTCCATAGATAGATAGGTTAATGGTTTGTGCTGGACAGTTTAACCATAGAAGTCGAAGTCATCATCCTCTCCTGACTGGTCCTGTTTCCCTGTGCTGATTGCCAGATCATCAACATCATCATCAGACTCCCCCCAGAAACCTGCAGGACAGAACACGCTAATGATCAGACTGCACAATGGAGACTTCTCTGTACATCCACAGATGATATGTCAAAACAAATAGGATTTTATAACCTGAAGTCAACATTGTAAGTAATTGGTGTTCAGCAGTCAGGTCACTGTTACATCCTAAACTGCAGTCACACAGTATTCAGTTACATATCTGAAATAAAGAAGCTCTTGCAAAGTCTTAGTCTTTTGTACCTTTAGGCCTCTTTGGGCCTGTTGCTGTCCCCTCTGTGCCGGTGGACCCCATGGACCTGGTGCTCCTTTCCATGGCAGAGGGTACATAGCCCACAGGGGAGCGTGGGGACTGGGTGGGGGAGGAGGAGACTGAGCTGTCCTCGTGGGACGCCTGTCTGAGGAGCGGTGATCGTGGGGACGGGGGACCGCTTCGTTTTCTCGGGCTGTCATGGTCTACTGAGTCCTCACAGCTCAGGCTGCGGCCTAGGTTACCACCTCTGCAAGCAAAGAAGACATTTCATGAAAACATTGATGCCATTGCTAAATAGTGTGCAGAAATATAGGGTACTCTTTCCACCAGGACATTTATGTCACTCAAAAGCCAGTGCATAGTCCCAAAATTTTGTGTGGATGTTTAGGAGATATCTTTTAAATTCAAGCACATTTCAACTGATGAATTCAATGTACATGAAATATGGACTAACGTACTTCAAATGGTGCCTCATTAATACCTTTCTTCAAATGCATATGTCATGTAAGCACAAATATAGTTACCTGACTGTTGAGGCAGTTGGATGAGGAGACAGCGCAGCCTCGATACCGTCCAGGTCGCTGTCTCCCTCCAGCTCTTCCTCGGACAGCTGTGCTGCAGGCTGCTGCTGGAGGCTGCTGCGCATCAGGCTCTGGTAGGCAGCCGTGTCTGCACAACACACAGGGCAAGCTGGATCAGTCACCACACTCATAGTCCAGAGGCTTCAAAATAGCACATAATCACAAACCAAAGAAATAGAAAAAAAATTGCATAATAAATTTCAACCTAAACAAAAACTAGCAGGAAGAGAAATAGACCAGACGTCGGGAAAGTTCAAAATAGCACAAAGAAATACCAATACAAAACTTTACAAGCACAAGTAATTTCAATCTGAAAAATTACTAGGAAGACAGTGAGAAGAATTTTTACTTAGTGCTACAATTTGAAAACATTTTTGTATTTTTTAAGCAGTGAATGGGTGACAGCAATCATTGCTGTACTGGATAGAGGAAGTGCGGTAACAAACTAGCCATAGGGTAGGTGTCATATCACAACAGTCGTAAAGTTCTACTTGTTATGACTCTAACAATCTACTCGTACTTCCTAGGCTACAGAGAACCTACTACCTACCAGAGAAAACAGCCCTCTACTTCATATGGGATTTAAAACTTACCATCCTCATGTGAGATTTTGACATCCAAATTTATAGTCATCCCCTGTCCATCTTACATGCATTAGAAACACAATGCAGGCATAAGATTGGGTCAATCCATTAGAACTTTACACAAGCTAATCATCAACACAAATCTGGTTAATCATGCTTGGATTTACACATTGTACATGAGCATGTTTACTTCCAAGGGCTCTCAGCACCATGCCTCCTATTTGCAAGACAGCTTCATTAGAACTGCCTTAACAGATGTAAATTTTAAACCCAACAATAAGTGAACCATTCAAAAATTGCAATCATTAGTACTCATAGTCATACTTAAAACCAAGAGGCACAATAGAACCTTGGGCCACACAGCTGTGTAATGACAACAGCAGGGGACTAGTCCATTGGCAGAAGGAAGTTCTACATAACAGTATAAGTGGTCAGACCTGTGAGAGGGACATTGTTGTCAAAGAAGCTGTCTCCTTCATCCTCACTTTCCTCTGTGTCCCTGCTGGGAGCTGTAGGACAAGAATATACATGTACAATCATTGTCATTAGTCATCCACTTTTATAAAGAGGTTTATTTACCAGTACATGTTGTCATTCATACTTTCAAACAGGTCCTTTCCAACCAATTGCAAGTTTGTTTAAGGTTCAATAAGTTTTCTTTAGGTTGACATAATAATGTCTAACTCATCAGCTGAAAGTATCAGGAGCCAGAAAAAAATGTACAGAATATGTTTGTCTGTCTGACTCTAAGGTATTTTGAACACCTTTTTTCTGTGAAGAAAACTTCAAGCACAATGTTGGTTAAAGTGTGTGATACCGTAAGATATCACCTGGGCCAGAACACCCATATTGAATGTGAGTTGAACACAGGTATGACATGAACATATACTATATACCCATGTACCTCTCTTTCCAGTTGAATTGGTAAGATTAAGAGGAGGAGTTTTGTGCAGAGTGTCCCGGGGAGGGTCGGGGGAGGATGGGATGGGGAGGGAGGCAGATGACGTGGCTGACTCCTCACTGCCCTGGTCGTCAGCCAGGGTCTGATTCCCGGCACAGCCCTGCACCACGATGGCCAGCAGCTCAGCAGCCTGGGGCACACAGGGACAAGGATGTTTCAACATCTAATCATGACCTTACTGTACCAGACTGTGGTTGAAATCATGGATATTTCAGCCAAACTTGTTAAACTAATCTGACAGATAAAATATCATCATATACTGTTATGATAACAATTAAAAGGGTGCCAAAAGTCTCTCTAGGTCAGACAAACCGTACCAATAATCAAACTTTCCCAAAAAATGGATGGACAACATTAAGGAACACACAAGGTTGACCTTTATAGTGTCAACTGTCAACCCCCTGAGAAATCTAGCAAAACCTTAAGTGCAAGCATGTCTAAACCTTGCAAAGGCAGAATGACAGATGACAAACTGACTACCTTCTGCACTAGAGTAGACCCAGGTTTGATTAAGAGTGGTGAGAACACGTCTGCAATGTCCTCTGCCTCCATGACTCCACGCCGTACCAGCAGGGTGAAGTGTTGCACCAGGCGATCCCACAGTGGGACTGAGTGGGAGTACAGGCTGGACCTGTGGACAACACAACCTCATGTGCTCAGCAGAAAATTCATAGAAAGAATAGAATACCAAAAGAATTCAAAAGACAATGCTGATAAAAGACATAAATGGATGGAGCTACGATTCATTAAAATTCAACTAGGGACACCAACATGGTGGTCATCACCTGCCTGGTTCATTGATACAGAGGATGAGTGAACACACTCTGTACTTTTAAGAATGTTGATTACCTGACACTGACATCGTCCACCAGGGCCATGCGACCAGACAGTAACTTGTCGGTGAGGAGACAGCCTGTTGGCAGAGCACTGGTGACACGTGGGAGCTCCTGACTCACAACGGCACTCAACACACCAGGGTCCTCATCATGGGGACTGCCTCCTGAATTAGCATCCCTGAGGGCGTAAGGGCACAAATTTGTGACCTGTTAACAAGTATAAAGAGATTCATGATATCCAGAGTAAAATGACTGATGATGTTTTATGATGGAGTTGAGTAATGCAACCTAGTGTTGAACTTGACAGATGATGATGTATTGGATGCTACATGAAAGAAACCAAGCTCACGTACTCAATGATTTCCCTTGCCAGCTCTGGATCTAAGTCCCCTCGCCCATACAGCCCTCCCCGTCCTCGTAATCTGGGCAACGCCTCTTCAATGACGTCCAGCAGTACCAGCAGCCCCTCCATACTCAGTGGTACGTCCCGTTCAGACTGATCAGGTGATGCGGGTGAGGGGGGTGAGTCCGGGAGGTCGTGTGGGGTCACAGAGGCAGTCCTGACTGACTCTGGTGTGAAGCTGATGTCGTGGGCAGCAGACCTGGGGGAGTCAGGAGGGAAGGTGGCACCCAGGCCTGGGGACATGGTGGGACTGCCTTTGGTGGAGGAATAGGGAACAGGACTGGATGGGCCAGTCTTGGCTTTAGTGTCACCGTTATCACTGAGCGGAAGGCTTAGCTCACTGTCGATGTCACTGTTGTTACCATTGTTTGGTGGGGATTTGGGAGGGGAGTCTCTTTCTGGTGACATGTCACGGAAAGCTGGAATCACAAATAAGGACAAAGTGAGCAAAACTTTTTAAGAAAAAAAAGCTACTAACTTACATTCATACTAACAAATTTTACCCAAAGCTTCATGCATTGGTACCAGGTAACTTTCAAACAAAGTTCTTGACAATTCTAAGAAAAGTCCAGAAGGAACAAACTAAGTGGTAATACCTTGCTGTCTATTGGTGCTGTGCCTTGGGGATTGCCCAGTTCTCCTTGGAGAATCAGTCTTCCTTCTCCCAGGTGTTACATTGCCTTCATCTTGTAGTGCCTCCTCTGTTTCCCTCCTTCTCCCTGGGTGATTCTGTCTGGGACTTGCCCCTGGCCTGATTTTCCCTTGGTCTCTAGGAGAAGCTTCTCTACCAGCATCATCTCTGTACCTGCCTGTGTGAGCGTTCAACTGATTGTCATATTCTGGTGCTGTTTCCTGTTCTTCTGAGTACGACGCTGACCTCACCATTGGCCGCCTGCTCTCGTAGCCTCCATCAGGGTTTCCCTGCCTCCTGTCAGCATGTGTAGGCTCCTGGTAATGTGCAGATGGGGGTTGTGGGTTGCCTCTGCCCACTGACGAGTGTGGGAGAATGCTGACGTCTGTCGACTGTGGTGGAGGCATCCACTGTGGTACAGTTTCAGTGTGCTGCTTTGGATGCATTTTCCAGCTGTCTGGGCTGTCCACAGTGGAAGCTTGCTGCCTAGGTAGCCCTGTGTTACTACTGTATGGCATGGAATATGGTGTGGAGTGGCTGCTGGGACCCAAGTTTGGGTAGGCTGGAGCAGGTGGTGCATGTTCTAGTTGTGGACTGGATTGATGCAGCCCTGGTAGCATGTTACTTGTTGGTCCTGAATTAGAAAGAGGATAGGACAGGCCTCTAGGGTCTGTAGCGTGAGGTCCATAGTCCATTGGCTGAGTTTTTGCGTCGTGGCTGGCTACCTGAGGAGGCTGATTCTTTGGAGCTGTAAGCTGTAGACATCAAAACAAAAGAGTGAATAAGATTAATTGGACATAAGTTGCATTAGGCAGCCTAGCATAAAAGAGCAGAATGTATTTTCTTTGTGACACTTTTTGGTACCACACAAAGTATAAGAAAGCAGATGGTGATTTTTCTTCACCATACCTTTTCTTGTCTCTTTCTCTCCAGTTGTTCTCTCCATCTTGGGAACAATCTCTCTATATGGGCCTCATACTGTTTCTGTGAATGGAACAGAGATGAATCTTGATATACAAAGTACCTCTCAGACAGTGAAACTTAAGATAATAGCAACAAAGACATGCACAGGTTTTAAAAGTAACTTGTGGCAGTGTATATGCAGAAGAATCACCTTGAGTTCCCTCAGCCTGTCTGTCCTGGCCGACAGCATGCTGACGTGACTCTCCACCCTGTTGAAGTCCTTGAGAAGCTGCTCATTGCGGACGCGGCTCTTCTGCTCGTCTTCACACAGCTTGGTCCAATAGGCCTGCAGCTTACTTGCCCTCAGTCGTGCCCTGTAAATATTACTTTCTGTGATGCTGCTTATTGATATATAGACAGTTGGGAAATCCATTGACAGCTGAGCTATGACAGATTCATGTCTGCATGTGGGTTATGCATTACGAATTACTCAAAATGCTCTGCTGACATTTCATACTGTAGTCACTGTAGGTACATCTGTAAATGTAAATTCAGAAACATCCCTAAAATTATATGTTATGTAAAACATCCATCGATTACACTTGAGCTTGAATCAGATTTGCCCGGTTATGCCTTATGATGTAGCCATAACTGCCTGCTGACATTCATTGCCAAGCGGAAGTAGAAGCAAGGAGCTTCTTGGTAGAAGAAGAAAACATATCACAACACAACTCTACCAGTCATGAGTCAACAAAGTTAGTCTATTATAACAGTCTGTATTACCGGGTAAGTAGTGTTCCAAAATTATGATAGATGATTTATTTATAACTTTTGGGTAAACATAAATCGCAACACAGATCTGTGCTAACACAGAGCACTCACAGTCTTTTGTCCGACTTCATGTAGGAATTCATCTGCCTCTCCAACTGCAAACGTCGTTCTTCGCTAGAAGAGAGAATATTCAAGTGCAAATCAATAATTTTCTAGTTCCTGTTCTGGCGTCAGATTGTTGTCATGGTTTCCAGGGCTTTTTCAACAAAAATTCGGCATGCACTTTGTCTTTTTCTACCTAAATCAACACAAAATACTGTCTGGAAATCTTGTGTGATATATTGAGCTATCTCTCGATAGATACCTGGCATGCAGTTGGTCTTGAAGTTGTTGAAGTTTAGCGTAAAATTCGACATTGCTCGTCGCCATTTTGAACACCCGCCTCCTTCTCCCGACAGGCAGCGCGAGAATAATGATGACAGCAACCAACCATGTTTGCGTTTTATTGTTAAGCGTTTGAAGGTTTATTAGGTCACAAACTAAGCATGATAATACAAAGTATTATCATAAAATTAAACTGATATATTGTGATGTGTACTTGTTTAAGAAGTGCTAATTTTCTACAGTAATAAACCGATAACCTGACAAAAATAAATGCGTTTGCTTGCGATCAATACTTGAGAGTTCACAAAAGTTCACCAAGGTGAAAGGTCAGTTTAAAGTCTCACCGCTCCAAAAAGAGGAAGTCATGAAGTGGTAAATTTGCAGGCGTTAAAAGTAAAAAGAATCACGCGCATCTTACATAAGCAGGGTCCATGTAAGTATCATTTGCTGCTATAGTTTTGTTCGTACCAATTTAGCTTCCATGATCAAATTATGGTGATCATATTAATAGCTTCTATATGATCAACATTGGCCTATCTCAGTACCTGTGAAGTGTTTACATATCTGCAAACTGTTATACTAACTTTAGAATTTGTTTTCTTCTCTTACAACCATCTCATAGCCAGAGTATCTTGAAGAGCTCGAGTTGAAGTGACTGGGGTGCATTTGTTCACTGGTTCAATGTCTGAAGCAGAGGGTGACAGTAAAGGTAAAGGAACAGAAACTGCATACATTGGGTGTCAATATGCAGATAGCCAAATTGTACCGTGGCTGACTAATACACACCTGCGCAAATGCCTGTCATCTGCGCAAATGCCTGCGTCGTCTGCACAGAAAAAGCTGTGTTGTCTCCGCAGAGAGAAAGCTGCATCATCTACGAATATCTTAAATCAAAGTGAAGAAAGAGTCGTTGTAATTTGTTGTAGTATTATTGTATGTCGTCATCATCAAAATCGAGTCCTAAGCAAGTATTAAAGCAAGATAGTGTATGCCATTTATTATGCATATGAGTCTGCAACAAGCAGAATCTATACACTTCACAGAAACGTTTTACCAATTTACCACAGGCAGTAAATTCCAGTAAGGCTGGATAATGTTTACTTTGTTTTTTAATAAACACTACTGGACTTTACAATAGCAGTAAATTTAAGTCAAGTATGGAGATTCCAGGCTTAACAAGGGTTGTAAATGAAATTCCAGACTTAACAACGGGTTGTAAATGAAATTAATGGACTTGACTTTTACTTACTACCATTGTGTACTATGTACAAAGTAAACATTACCTGAGTTTGCTACCTTTTTGTGCAGTGTTTACAAGTCCGTAATATAATCGCTACCCACAGAAGAGAACTTTAAACTACCGGTATTGGGTTAGCTGTGCGACCGTGGGAAACTGCGGCTTGAAACTTGTCCGCGAGCTAATTTGCTAAAAAAAAAAAAAAAAAATGGTAATGGGTGTCTGTTTGCACAGACGACGCAGATGTGTACTTGTCGGCCACAGTACTATTGTATAATTGCTTCACTTGTAGAAATACATGCATTTCAATTTCACGACCAGTATAGATAACAGTATTATAGTATATATATAGTAGTTATTTTTCATCTGTGGTCTGTTTCAAACTTGGCGGATGTGCATTGACATTACTCCATTTCTTTTCAGATAAACAATTCTCCACACATCTATTTGTAAGAACAATATGTTAGCAGTAGAAATATGGAAAGGAACAAAGTAAGGACAGTGATCAGTAAGTGTTTCATTTCAATGTAGACTTCCTTTTATTTTCCCCAGCATCAGAGTCAGAGAGTGCTGCAGCTACAGGAGACAGCTCCACTCAGGTAAGACCAAGACATCTTTGACACTCGGATGCTCCATATTGGTTGATCATCACAATTGAACAATAGGAAAGTCAGAATCAAGATAGTTAGTTTGTTTTCATATTCACTAGTACAATTTACAATATGTATCTTGAACCTCTTTTTTTAGGAAAAAGGTGCTGGGGAAGAAGCAGAGCAAAGTAAGTCATCATATCATGTCAGATTTCATTGTCCTCTTCATTTCACTGTCAAAAAGAATCTTTATCTGATATCATCTGGAACGTAAAGTTGATAACTTAGCTGGTGTGTTACGCCAAAGGGCGGTTATACCGGCTATACTGATACAGATACAGATTGCAGCTCCAGACTGGGGGAAATGTTTCTTTTATATTTTGATGAAAAAGATAGCTAATAGAGGAATGGTCATGGTGTATCATCAGCTTGCAATGCATGATATACATGTAGTATTAGTAGCTGATAATATTGTTCTCCCTCTCTCATTGTCTTAGTGGAGTACTTCAGGAGATTGTTTGCCAGAACCCTGGGTCTGTCTCAGGAACGAGAAGCAGCAGAGGCAGAGGAAGAAACTCCCCGTCCGCAGCAGCTGTTGGATGAGGTTACAGTGGAAGGGATCGCAAAGTACATCAGAGATGGCAAATGTACGTATAGTTACTGTGTATTCAGTCCATTGAAATACTTTGCTGCTACCATAACTGTGTTTATTTGTATGAAAAAAATTTGCTGATTGTCTTTTTTACTTTCTTTTGCAGGTAGAAACATAATTGTCCTGACTGGAGCAGGCATATCTACATGTAAGTTCCATTGGAAGTTAGTTAAAATCCTTCTCACAGCTTTCAGTGTACTTTGTTGAATTACTGTTTTGATTGGACTCAACCATTTTTTTCATATTTAATAATTTGAGTGTATATTTTTCCAGCTGCTGGTATTCCTGATTTCCGCAGTCCTGGCACAGGGCTGTACGACAACCTGCAGAAGTACAACCTGCCCAGCCCTCAGGCCATCTTTGAAATTGGCTTTTTCAAGGTATCAAGACTTAATGAGTACATTACCGTTGATTCAGTATAGCTGGTTTTGCAGAAGGATAGGTACTTATATGCCATTGGTGGCAGATTATGTGATTATTATGTAGGGTGCAAAGCAAATTGGTTCAAGCAAAATAGTTCAATATCCCTTGATCCAAGGTTGATCACTGCACTTCATACAAAACTGTGGCTTCACCTTATTTTTTGCTTTTACCACAGGAAAACCCAGAACCATTCTTTGCTCTTGCAAAGGAACTTTACCCTGGAAAGTTTAAGGTGACTTTCTGTCCAAACATTATTTATCTTTTTTTCAAGTTACCGTATTTTTCCCCAAAATTTGTCCTGAAGTATTCTGTAATTAAATGGTGTTTTTTTTTCTTTCCAGCCAACCTGGTGTCACTATTTCATCAAGCTGCTATCACTGAAAGGCCTATTGCTCAGGAATTTCACCCAGGTACAGCCTTCCTAAATATATTACTGCAGTTACATATACAGTGCATTGGCTTTTTGTGCCATACTTTTTCTTATACTTCGCAGTGCCATAGTATGTCATCTGTTTCTTGTATGTCCAGAATATTGACACATTGGAGCGAGTGGCAGGAGTGCCAGCTGGGGCGATGGTGGAGGCTCATGGGACATTTTACACAGCACATTGTCTTGGAGAGTGTAGGAAAGAGTACACACAGGAGTGGGTCAAAGGTCAGCATTGTTGTCATGCAATATATTTCATTGACTTTCAAGAAGTACAAACGTGTAGATTCAACCATTACCAGGAGTGGAAAAAATGCATATATTTATATTTGTGCTGATGTTGTGTAATTGTTTGTAAACATTTTTTGACGTTTTTTTGCAGAAAAGGTCTTCAATGATGAGGTCCCTAGATGTCCTGAGTGTGATGGTGTGGTCAAGCCTGGTATGAACCTTGTTAACTTTGGCATGTATGACATTTAGGTACATTGACCTGTATACTTGAACAAAATTGAGATCTGTTAATGTATTGTCAGTTTAATGACACTGCTTTCCAACTGATAGTGCCTCATCTATTTGTTAGACATAGTGTTCTTTGGAGAGGCCATGCCAGCCAAGTTCTTCCCCAGTGTTTTGGCGGTAGGTACTTCTTCATTTCCGTTTGGTAAGGAACAACCTGTCAATTTTTATGCAATCATTTTTGTTTCAGGGAACACATTTTTATATCATACCAAAAATGTTTTACATTTGTATTTCACACTTTATTTCATGGTTATGGTTCTCTTCTTGAGTTCAAAGTACAAATATAGTAATCCACTGCTTTATTTAAATGTAAAAACTTGCAGGATTTTCCTCGGTGTGATCTCCTCATTGTCATGGGAACATCACTACAGGTCCAGCCTTTCGCCTCCCTGGTGGACAGGTCTGTATTCATCCCACATCATCAAGTTATTTACTGGGATTTACCACATTTGTGAAAAGATCTGTCATAGGTTACTGCTGATATAATTTTTATTATTTTTTATGTTAGGACAAATACTTCAACTGTTACATAAAAATGACATGCTATCATCATCGTCATCCTCCGTAGAGTTGGAGCATACAAAGTTAGATCGCCAAAACTGTTTGTCATTCATCACAGAGATAAGTTCCTGGCCCTCCAAGCCTATTTCAGTTTCAATAAGTTTCTTAAGTGTTATATTTGGACGTCCAACTCTTCTCTTTGTATCAGGGTTCCAGAGTAGAAGCGTACTGGCTGGTTCTTCACTACGTACAACATGACCGGCCAAGCTTAGTCGTCGACATTTGACTTCTGTAGTTACATTTGGTAACGAACCGTATAACTGTTTAGTAGTATGTTTCCACCATGGTGTATTGAAAACCACTCGCAGCATCTTCGTGTATGTTCTGTTTAGTTTTCTAGAATGTGACATATTCATGTTAGACATGCTATGATTGGATATATATTGCTGACTTGTATACTGTGTGTTGAGTATTAATACATACATGATTTTTTATGCACTAGGGTCCCAGAGACCTGTCCCAGACTTTTAATCAACAGAGAGAAGTGTGGCCAGGTGGGTGGGTGGTTATTTAAATGTCTATCTAAACTCTTCATGTCTGTTCTTGTGTTTTCTTACCTCATCAAAAAATTACAGTATGTAAATGAAAATGTACATGTATTCCACATAGAGCAGGAATGCTTTCACAGAATAAGGAAATACAGAGAATTTGTCAAATACTAGTACATTGTAAAGGGTGCAAGCTCTAATTGAACTGTCCAATATTTGTTGGCCAATTATTCTGCTTATCTACTGTACATGTGGTGTTGAATTTGAAACAGTACAGTGCTAAGACTGCAGTGATGAAACAAAGGTGCTGAAGTGCCATCCATTGTAAAGAAGCTTCTGCCATGTCACTGGCATGTTTGTAAGGGGGGGGGGAGCTGTTGACTCATTGCTGTATATATGCAGTGATTCTGGCTATTCTGGCCTTGTTCAGGGGTATAGAAAATTGAGATATGGGTCCTTTGCCCACCGGCTCCTGGCTGCTATGATTAAACCTGAGCTGCCTGATGTGGAGTTAGGCATCAGCCCCTCACCGGTACATGTCCTCAACTGTCCTTCATACAAACACAGTCACAGCAGTCTTAGGTTCACTATTTACAGTGATACTTTCTGGATGTACTATAAATACAGTCTATTCATGTAGCATACTGTTAGTTACTTAGGTTCAAGTTCAGTTGTAAACAAAAGTTAGCTCTTGATGACCCTAGAGTAACCTGTGATGGCAAGAATCTTAGTACATGTATCTGGAAAATAAGTCATAAAATTCTTTGATGATTTTTTTAGTTAGAAATAAAATGCTTGACATTCACACTAATTCTATGTGCCATTCTGTGTCATAGGTTGACCCCATTATGAGGATGCTGGGATTTGGTGGAGGCATGGAATTTGACTCTGAGAACAACTACAGGTGAGAGAAAATAGATCACAAATGTGTTAACTTCACAGTTGCTGAAACCTTGTCATGTCATGTTTAAACAGTTAACATATTTCTTATCATATTTCTTCTTTGTCCCTGCAGGGATGTGGCCTGGCTGGGAGATTGTGATGATGGTTGCAAAGCTCTGGCTGAGCTACTTGGATGGAAGGTTTGTATATTTCTTTGATTTGATTACTTCTGCAACATTGGAGGCTGTTAAAGCACTTTGTATGTCACCTTTGTATGTCTGTCTTTCTTGTGACATTTTTGACCTCCTTACTAATTACAGGAGGAGCTGGAAGAGCTTGTAAACAAGGAACATGCCAGGATTGAGGCACAGATTGAAGAAGACAAGAAAACTGCAGCCAAGAGAGTTCCAGCCGAGGGTCAGGCTGTGGCTGCTGCAGGAGGGAGCACTGAGGGGGCTTCTGCAGCAGCCAGCCCTGACAGCAGCAGGCAAGAGTCTACTGCAGCTACTGCAGACAGCAAAGACAAGGTAGCTCCTACATCTGAAAAGACCAGGGAAGGGAAGCCAGACAGTCCCCAAGCTGATGTTAGTCCAACACCTGGTACAGATGGCGTGGAAACAAAGAGCAGTGGGGATGATCCAGAAACCAGCGAAAAGGGTTCCTCCAACCTTTAGGAAATTCCTTATACCATTACCATGGGTATAAAGCACCACGTGAGTAGTGTTCCACATCCCTTGTGAAGTTGTGCCAACCAACTTTATGATTGGCAACAACATTTCGACATACGGTTACTTAAAAAAACTTTTCCACAAGCATATATGTACATTACATGGTGTGTTTATCTGCTACGTTAACTTTGAATTTTATCTACTGTTATCCAGTAAATGATAGTTTGAAAAAAAATTGTTTTAGAAAAAGTTCAAACTTTGAAATGTTCTGGTTAACTTCTTGTGAAGGGGGAATGCACACCAATCCAGGCTACTATTATTATCTCTAACATCAGGTGGATTTTAGCATTTGGATTTGAAGTTACTCCATAATTAGAAAGTATTAAATCTACTATGCTCCTACTGTGTTTATTATTACCATAGCTATCTTCTTTAAAAATGACTGACAGGTAATATTACCAAGCAGTTGATGTGAATTCAATATGGGAACTTAGCATGGCCTTTAGCAATGGCATGTTGATTGGCAAGCTGATCAGTATGGAGTCATGATAGAATCTCAGACTAACATTCATATGTACTGTGTACATATTGAAATGTAGTTTGGTAATTTTCAAGCAGATTCTGTGGGGCAAGGGGAGTCTATATTGGTCATCTGTATCCATCAGCCAATGGTTACAGGAGGCCAATATAGACTCCCCTTGCCCCACAGAATCTGCTTGGACATTAGTTAGGAACTGCTTGAAGATTAATTAGGAGGATGTCCTCTACAAATGACAGATTACATTATGTACCAAATTACTCATTGAAACTGTTCTGGATTAGAGATAAAATTTTAATATCATGATGATATTGCAACAATAAGTACAATATCAACTGTTCTTTTAAATTTCAGACAAGTCAATCAATAAGATAGTAAAAAAAAAGATTTTCAAGCCTACATTATCACAGTTGTTTCACTTACCTAAGGCCACACCCAGCCCAGTAAAATTTCTTGGTTCTCGGATTTTTATAGGAAGTTAATACAGCAGGCAGGCGAAAGAAACATTAAACTCCCTGATAGACCCAATTTTTATTGCTTCCACAGGCTGGTTAATGATTCAAACAATGGATTTTTATGCATTGCTAAATGAAAACCCAGTAACAACTTGGCAGACAAGGACTTTCTTCAACTGCCATTCATATCCTGAATTATCTGAATTTCTCGTATCAAAAAAACATTTGAGTAACCAGATTTACTTAATTTTTTTCCATCATATTTATACAGGGTTGCCCATTCGGTGATAATACTGCTTTTCAGTGGAGCCCTGTATAAACCCGAGAACCAAAAGATTACATTGGTGTCGCCTTACTATGCATATCTAATTATATATCATATCACTTTACCTACTGAGCAACAATACCATTCCACACATCTTACACATTGCTAAACTTTTTGGCACCGTTATTTTGCCACCGTTTTGTCTACCTTTATGCAAGCTTACACATTGCATACATTTATATATCAGGAACTAGCAATACTACATACATGTACTAATGCTTCTGAGTAAAACATTAACACACATTTTTTATGAATATGTCATATATATGCTTTTGCGTCACTTGCCACATACATTTTGTACCACTTGCGGTTCCTATACTGACAATACCAAATTACCTACGTGTTAATTTCATTTCTTCAGAGTTTTGTTAAAGATGTAACAATAAAACTGGACTTGTGGCCAATGCAATTCCTTATACTTTAAAAAACACGCATAAACTTAAAAGAAACCCTAAAAGAAATATCAGGTACATATATCTAAACAATTCATATCACTATGAAAAGAAGTAAAATAAGTGGTATCAAAGGTGTCACATCTCATTTTTAGTAGATCCTAAAACAAATTGGTTTCTGCTGATGAGCAGTTTTATTACCCAGAATGAAACTGCTGGGAGCCAATATTTTGGAGTAATCCATTCAAGTCTAATCTTACCTTCCAATGTAAAGATAGAAATACTTCAGACTCAGAGGCACACAGAACACCTCAGTAACTCTTTGCATCTTCAGTCATTAAACCTATGTACTGGTTTAGTCATTTTTAAGTAGGAATCCTTGAAGCAGGAATATTTTCAATATGATATAAAGGTGGTTGTCATAAAATAAATCAAGGAAAGATAGTTGGAATGGGTAAGGCTTAGTATCAGTACGTCAACAGTGTTTATAGTCATCACCAAAAGGAATGCACATTCAAATACTTCGCTGTAAATATATACCTTAAGACTACCCAATAATGCAAGTTTAAAAATATGGTACAGTACATCAATGTCTATCAAACAATAAATTGCTTGCGACTGGACTAACAACTGCCATACCAAAACATATTGACAGTAATTGTAATAAATATATATATAAATAAAATACTGGTAACACAAAATAAACATCTCTCAATTGTCTTACAGGTATTGTAGAAGTTGAGAAAATATTCCTAACTACCAGTATTGTAGAGGTTAAGGTGAGAACTACTATCATGTAGAGGTTAAGGCCCAGGACAGTGAAAGCCTGATGTATAGTCTGAAGATGACATTACTGGTTGAGAGAAAACTAACTGTGCCGCTTGATGTTGATATTCACTGACTGACAAACATTAAAACTGAGCAAACTTGATTTTACACAGATCTAAAAGCTATGCCTGGCACTCGACATGACAATTTTCCACAGAATAATAAGATAGTGGAAAAGGTAAGTGAAAGTCACATAACAGTAACTGTGAATTGAGATGCTGTAAATCTGTCATCATCATAAATCTGTCATATTTGCAGGAAAAAACACCCTAATCCTGACCAATACATAAGGTACACAATATCACATTTGCATGCAAATCACAGCTTGGTGTACAAGCTCTACCTCATCATCATGCTAAACCAACAATGGTGGCACAGGGTAGGATCCTGTGATGCCACACCCTATCATTATCTTTCCTGGAAGCATTTTTCATGAGTCCCTCATCATTATTCAATTTCTGTGGGTTAACTAAATGCCGCAACAGACTTAGTTATATGCCAAGGCAGTTTAAGGTCAGACTTCAGTTCCCATTTGGTGGTTGAGCCTCTTGCTGACCACCAGTTCGGGGAAGCCTGTCCTGTCGTCCATCTCCCTGCGGTAGGTCAGGTTGCTGCACTCCCCGATCACAATCTCTGCCGTGGTGAAGACGGTCAGGTTGCCCATCACATGGCCACCAATAACAGCCCCGTCCTTGTCAGCCAATGAGACGTGGAGATGGCAGCTGTTGTTTAAGGTACCCACCAATGAAACAATCTCGTAGCGCTGGTCCAGCTCAATGACCTGACAAATACATGACGTTCAGTTACAAAAGAAATACTTTGAAGTGATGCATTTTTGTAATATTCAGAATATTCTTTTTGGGCTGGTTGAATAAAGCACCCTCTCATCTATGGCCTCTTGTCAAGTGCCTGTGACATACATGTACACATTTACACAGTAAATCAAACAGAAGCAGGTCAGCAACCATCTATACAATCAATCAATCAATCAATACCCCAATACCTTCTACATGTGCTATGCAGGGATCCATGGAAGGAAAAATTCCTGCCTCACCTCGTTTGGTTTTTCTGCTGTGGCATTAGCCAGCCGCAACTTGGCACTGGAGACACTGCCGACACAAGTCATCACGAAAGGCGCCTTCAGTCTCTTCTCTTCTACAAACTTCTGCAGCGCAGACTTGATCTCCTCCCCGGGACCCAGGCGCAACGTGAAACACACAAGGGGGCTTGCCATGGCCTAAGTGGGATCAACACAAGCAATAAGATGAAAGCAAACTAATCCGATTTTCCTCCATGTATATACGCAATGCCAGCCTGAAATCCTTACAAATATGAGAGAAGAAGGAACCGTCTTGCAATCTATATTCATTTCCCCTCGCAGTATGTGGGTCATATGACCTTCCGATACGGCCTACATTAGCAGGAAGGTCATATATCCTCATCATCTGTTGGAAAAACACACGTTAGTTGACAGGAAAAGTGCCTGTACAAAAATTCAACAACATCCATCACCATGTAGGGAGAATAGACGTTGTGCCTTCAGCTGTCTGCCTTTATCTGTGTTCCGATCAGCGAGGAATCAATCCCGACAGCTGTCCCTGCCATGTGCATGATGTGGAATTATGCAGGGACACTACCGGTACAAATGGCAAGCTGAGCACCAGACTTATCAGGGCACGCATCCCGACTGTCACTGGTTCTCATCACCGATGGAAAAATCAATGTCACGTTGTCACTTTAATGGTATCAAAATCTAGTAGCAGATGGTTGGGAGAAAAACAAATTAATAGACTCTTTCCGTGGCACCCAGGCGTACTAATTCCTAGGTAATCCTTAGCCCCAGTCACATTCTTCATGATTTGACTGAAGGTTTTGTGTCACCAACAGGTTTGCAAGTAAAGCAGTGCAGATCACACCTCTGTAGCCCCAATTACCAGCACCTGGCCTGCCTTGTGCTGCCGGGACATGAATAATCCTGCTTTTCCTGCAGCACAGAGTGAACGTAACTACATCATGTACATTCCACAGACTGTGTATGTTCCACTTAACCACTGCGGGCAAATCCCGTCAGAAATGCACATGCCATTACTGACACTAGCCTTGGGATATCAGCTGCCCATGGAGATGTCATGTTACACTGCAGCTGGAGCAATGAAAATTAAGCACTTGGCACACTAACCATGTTTGAAATGTAGTAAACAATGCATATTTCATGCATATTTGTTAGTCTATGGAAATTGAGCAAATGTTAGCATTAAGCGCAAATCATATTATTTAATTTATCAATTACTTTTAAATATAATTTGATAGATTTGATGATAATGTAAATTGCAGATTCTATAGGGTTCATTCATTTTTTTTTAATTTTCATAGTTTATACATACATGTACCTGTTGTAGATACATTTTGAGCAGGAATGCTTCCACATCTTTTTAACTCATACATACATCCAACCCTGTGTATGCCTTCATAAACTACACAAACACACATGCACACACAAGCACACATACGCCCATGCAAACATAAACACACACTCACAAACATGCGCCATTAATAATACGTATATATACAGACACTCAGAATCTGAGTGTATACAATGTTGTATATATGACACAATAAAATTCATATTACATTGTCAAATGAATGAATAAATGTGGTTGTAATAAAATAGACAACACAGGTAATAAGACTGCAGTCAAAATACAAGAGTTTGGCTCTAAATATTAAAATCCCAACCCAATTAGAAGCTCTAGATTATGAAATTGTGTGTTACTATCAATAAAATGAATGTACACCCTACATTTCTGTTAATCTAAGGAGGACATGGTGCAATGTTAACCAATTGACTAGTACCCAACATAACACCAGGAGGGAATAGCACTTTTCACATTATTATACCTTAATCTAATCTCAAACATATAAGGCACCTATCAAAATATAAAAAAAACATATCCATAGATGGTAAAAAAAATGATAATGTAACAGAAAATGGTCTAATGAAGGTTAGACACCCAGATAATGAGATACACAAGGAAACTGACAAAAAGTAGTGGATACTACTTGAAATGACAGTTTTCAAACCCTATCCAGTTGATTGAGTAACAATGTGTGGGTCCTTCTACATGTAACAGTATTGTAGAGGCCAATATGGCACTTCCACTGTCCCTGATCAAATTTCCTAAATAGGTATCAACAATTGTAATGAATACAATGTCTGGCAAATTGACTGATACTGCTGTAGTTGGTAGACTTCTGTTCAGAGTTTCTGGTTGAGCCTCTTGTTGACCACGAGTTGCGGGAAGCCTGTCTCCTCCTCCATCACCCGACCATAGCTTTCCTTGGTGCTCTCCCCGATCACAATCTCTGCCGTGGTGAAGACGGTCAGGTTGCCCATCACATGGCCGCCAATAACAGCCCCGTCCTTGTCAGCCAATGAGACGTGGAGATGGGTGCCATCGTTCAGAGTACCCACCAATGAAACTATCTCGTAACGCTGATCCAGCTCAATGATCTAGCAAAAATATATCCAGGTATCAAATAAATATGACTTACTTGTTACGTAATGATTTTTTTCTGGTAGGCAGTTCAAGACTTTAGGTCTGACGGCAGTGAGCTCCGACCTTAATACTGTCCATATTTATCATGAGCACTTTAATTCTGAGCTATGCTTTTGCCTATTGCCTTACAACATTATACCTGCATCAAGGACATTGATCTGAGCCTCCACCGCCATGTACAAATACAGGACACCAAACGACAAGCCCGAACCACACGGGAATATATAACACCTTGACTCCCTCCAGACTCACACACGAGCCTCCAAAGCATGACAACCCTGCCTACCTCGTGCTTACCGACACCTGATTTGTCTGGCATGGCTTTGGCCAGTCGCAGTTTACCGCCTGAAACACTGCCCACACAGGTCATAACGAACGGCGCCTGCAGTTGTTTCTCTTGGACAAACTTCAGCAGCGCAGATTGGATCTCCTCCCCGGGACCCAGGCGCAACGAGAAACAAACAACGGGACTTGCCATGGTCTAAGTGTTGCCAAGTGAAGAAACATCTGCCACGTAAACAGCAAAGGTGACTCAAACCAAGGACATTATACACACAATGTCCTTGCTCAAACATAGATGTAATTTATCTCTTCAGCTACGCCCCCTTTTTTTTACTACTGTAGTTGTCATCCACAGCACACAATTTCACTTTTCAATCTGCATTGCATTTTTACCTGAATCAAGGACATTATATATAATGTCCTTGCCTTAATGATACTGAAAGACAGTTAACATTGCATACCGGTACCCAAGATATCTTTGTAACTGTAATGCAGGGGAAGTGAGACAAAGTTTCTTACCACTGTTTTATCACCTTTCTGAGACGTGCTGGTCAAATTCCAGTCCAAAATGCCTTGGGCAAAATGTGTGGCCAAGCCCAAGGTGCCCCAGGCTCTGTGCTCAGCTCATTAGGGGGGCCCCCAAGCCCTTTTCCGTAGAGCGTAATCGGCCGTTTTAATTCTACGTAGAGCGTAGACGGACCCTCTAATTCAACGTAGAGTGTAATTGGCGAATTTGGCGTAGAGCGTAATTCGCTGTTTTAATTCTACGTAATGCGTTGTAGCTATCGGGAATTAACCGTAAAGCGTAATTGATTAATTGTGCGTAGAGCGTAATCCAAGCCGCAAACGGGAACTCGAGGCCTCGCAAGTGCCGGGTTGTCGCGGCGCTCGAGGTCTTTCTTGCTTTACCCCCTTCTATACAATCGAACAATCCACTAGACTTGTTCCCAGAGCCATACACAAGAACAAGGCAACACATGGGAATGATCCCACAATGCGCTGGGTACGAGATTGACCTTACCATCGGTGACGTACAGGAGGACCATTGGCCAAACGCCACAGATGGCCACAGATGAAGAGGGTAGAAGGCCTTAGAACCACATGACTTGTAAGGCCCAATAGGGGCCCTCAAGACGTTTCTTAGCGGGAACATCATTGCTGATCAATGGCCAGGGTAATGGAGGACACTCCCGAAAAGAGCAATGTCATCCCCGTCATTGTGCGGGTGATGGGTAACGCGGGACAGTCAGCAATCGGCAGCTGAGTCGTTTTGACAAATTACACTGTATTGTTTGCGGCCTTTTCTACCTTCGGACGACAACCCCACAAGGCTCAAAGGTCCACTTTTTGGTCCACTTTTTATCTAAAGGTCCAAGACTTTTCTTTAAAAGATGAACTGATTCGTGTCACCAGCAAGGCTGGAATCCGTTGTAGGAAAACTGCTCACTTTGTCATTGAAAAAGTTATCTCTGATTTTTTCTTTGAAACCCTCTAAAAACGCAGGAAATGCCATTTCAGAAGGTTCATTTTTCAAAGTTGGCCCCCCTTCAAAATTCTGGCTACGGCCATGTTACCTCCATTCACGGATCTCCCTCCGATCTTCGGGCGATCGACTCGCGGTCAAGTTGGTACCTGCGGTAATACTGAATACCCCGTTTTGTATTCTATACTTTCAATGTATAAGGAAGTGACCGCCGGTTACTACTTTTAATTCAAGTTATGTCACCTCTACATGTAATAAATCAAAAGGTTTTCACGCAAACATGTAGTTGCTAGGTGATTGTCAGATTGAGTTCTGCATAGTGCGTCCGGAATCTTTCGAATTTAGCGTAGAGCGTAGAGAGGCGTCCGGAATTCAGCGTAATACGTAGCCGGCTCTCAAAATTTAGCGTAGAGCGTTGTCGGGACCCCCCCTTGGAGGCCCCCCATTAGCTTTGCCGAGGTTATGTTTTCGTGTATGTGTGTGTCTGTGTGTGTGTGTCTGTAAACACGATAACTCAAGAAGGCTTCAATGGATTGACTTGATATTTGGTATGTGGGTGCTTGTGATTGATGAGACCTGGAAATGATTACATTTTGAGGCCCCTAGCCGCGTCATATGGTACTGCAGCTGAACTTCCGGTTTTAATATCCCATTACCTAGACATGCTAGGGTCACGAAATTTTGATGATAGGTAGCTCTTGTGCTGTAGAAGAAGTGACGCAATTGCGCCATACGACCCCACATGTAGGTTTATGACTACAAGCAAATGAGTACGGTTTACTGATCATCAGTAATGTTACTTGACAACTCCTTGGGCTTGAATTCACCAGTTGTGAACAGCCTTTTGTGTAACCTTCATCCATGTTGAACCATAACTTGATTACATCCTCCACATTCAATTTGAGGCTGTTGCAGTCCACTCCTAAACAAATGATCATGGCAATCTGATTTTCTATCCGTGAAGATTTGGTTGACACATTAAGTGGTTACTTCCTGTAATGTCAGATATTATATACAAACATACTCCATTTCCGTTTCTTAACAATAGCATGGTATCACTTTTTTTTTACAATTTCGCGATACTTATGATACCTGATATCAAGGGGGCTTAATTTTTAAGGTCCTTGCTGATATGCACACAACTATCATATATTTCATGTGGAATAAAAATGAATGATATTATACTGCTGTAAAATAATAAATTTGCATCAACCTGAGCAATGTATGTCTTTCTCGGTGACCAGAAAAATTACAATTAAAACATCATTTCACACAACATAATCAATTGCTCAGGTCAACATATAATGTTACATTCCTTCTAATTTCTAAATGAATACTACTATACCAGTGATGTGAATTATAAGCAGATAAGATTTCAAGCTACATCACGAATGTACAGACGAGTAAACACACTCTGTCGCGCTGATTGAACCAAGGCGGTTAGAGAGCCTCCTTGATTGAACACTGCGATCTTTGACTCAGTGTGCCTGCTCCTCTTGGTCCAGACTCTATATGAGCTCCTTTATTCAGGACAGCTGATCCAGGCAAACCTTCAGGTTGACCTTTAGAAATACAATCGACCTAAATATATGCTGTATACTAGTATATCTACACACGACGCCATACTTAGCCTTGCGCATCCCTACACTATACAGAAAATTCATATTCCATGGGAGACACAAATTCATATTTCAATGTAAATTAAACAAATTAACATAATCAATAATGATGGAGGGTTGATTATCTCACAAATTATTTGCACAGTAATTATGAATAAGATGCAGCTCTGCTTACCATTCCTGAAATTCTGTAGTTTTGGAGCTAAATATGCAGCCTGCCCGGTCCTGTGCCGTTCCAGTCCCAGATGATTAGGATGATAATTTCGCGCTTTTTTTATCAGCTGTTGACCCTTGACCCCACCTATCATTCCGTCACCACAACATGGCGGAGGCGGGAAGTTCTGGCACCAAGCGGCCGTTCTCTGAGGTCGACAATGACGAGGAACAGGAAGGGGTGTCTATGTTAGACGTCCTGGAGGAAGATGAAGAACTCGAGGAGGCTGCTTCGGCAGTCCTTGGTGGCAGCGATGACCAGCACTGCACCTACATCCAGGTAAAACTCTTCTTACCGCCTCCCATGTTTGTCATGCTACAAAATCCATGACAATGGCTGTCAACAGTTCTAGAACAAAGCCTTCACACATCGCGAGCTCTATGGATATAGAATGTCCTTGATCTTATAATAATAGGTTAAGACCAAAGATTAGACTTACCAGAGTACCTAAGTTTATACTGGCAGTGAAATAAATTTGATTATGTTCCAAAGTTAACGGTTTTGTCTGGAAATATAATTTGTTTGGTCTGGTTTATGATTTGTTTGTGCAAGTGAAGGAGGTTAAAACGAGTCCTTGTTAACGTCATGATTATGTCCATGGGCGAAACATTAACTTCACGTGGAAGGCAATGAAATGAAGATGTAGGGTTTTAAACTTAACTACTAGTAAATAATATCCATCATAAAGAAGCCTGCTGAGAGGGGGGGAGTCAACATGGGAGCCTGAACATGGATCATTTCTTACTTACTTTAATACTTATTATTTATGTTTGTATGGATTTGGTTCTTATCCGTGACCCCTCCCCTCAACTTCTACCTTGTTGAAAAGCGGCCTTGTGCCGAACAAGCATTCGAAGGAAAATAAAGGCTTTGACTTGACTTGATTTCCATGTGACTGTGAGATGCCCCACATGTTGTTCCCCAGGGCTACCTCCCCAGACAGGCCCTGTACGCCTGTGGCACCTGCACACCTGAGGTGATGGACCCCGCCTGCATCTGTCTGGCCTGCAGCTACGAGTGCCATGAGGGACATGAGCTCTACGAGCTGTACACCAAGAGGTAACTAACATGCTTGTAATGTCTAACCTGGATGCCAGCTTTATTAGTCTAATCCCACTGATCGCTTCCCTTGTCAACAGGATATACATGTGTAGCAGGCAGTTGTAAGTTCACCGTATGTTACATTGTAATACTACAAACTTACGATCCTCATAGAATTGTGGTACCTGACAGACAGAACCAACTGTTCATCGTTCGAACAGCTGATCCTGTTCCAAAGCGCTTCAGAATTAAGTTAGTTGAGTTTAGTAGACTAAAAATAACAAGGCTGGCATCCAGGCTATGTGACACTAGGGTTTTGATTTAATTATAGATGTTGCATTTGATTAAAAAGTAGATCATGCTGCTTTGGGCTCTGTCTGTGGATTTAAATGCAACACCATGGTTAAGTTTGACAAAGTCTATTCACCTGTTAAGTCAATAAGATTACATCCATATGGCCATGCAATGATTTGTAACAGGGCACTTCGCTCAGAGATTATTCACTGAAACCAATGATTGAAAAGTTTCCTCCATTGTAACACTGGCTTGTGTTGTATTTTACCATCTGCAGGAACTTCAGGTGTGACTGTGGCAACAGCAAGTTTCCAGACAACAAATGTAAACTGGATCCGGTGAGTGGGCTGTTGTATCAACTTGACATCTTGTTGTGTTTTTGTGTAAGAAAATTAACCTTAATGGCCAAGCCATTGCCACATTTTGTGAACATCATTATGTTTACCAAAGGAAAACATATTGTTTTTACTCAGTTTCTTCCTCCTCTTCTGTTCCAAACACTAACCTCTGACCTGGCCAATGGCATGATTTGTTGACGTCTGCCACCATGGTGACTGGTGTTGGGTTACATAATGTTGCAATTTCATGGTCTGCTCTACTCCTGTCACCATGTACTAGTAGTACATGTACTAGTATGTGGATGTGTTTAAGTAAAAATTAACAGGGCAGACCATGTCCAAAGGTAAACATTATACATTTGCTTTGGTAATGTTACTTCTCTAGTTTCTTATTGTGTTTTTAGTCATACATATATATATAGCATGCTGCTAACAAGACACATTTCCATTGTTTAACCTACAGAACAAGGCACCTGTCAACCCTGACAACAAGTATAACCATAACTTCCATGGTCTGTACTGCATCTGTGATCGACCCTATCCAGACCCTGATGATGAGGTGGGTAGACAAGACACAGGAAAGAGTACTTCTGGAGGCTCCTTTATTTATAGCCTTTATCTGTGTGGTGACAGGGCTGATACAGACCATACCGTGAATTACAAAGTTCTGTGCATAAGAGACCACTGATTGTGGTATCAAATGTAAATTTGGACATTATACATTGTTGACGAACACCACATTGTTGACTAAAACCAAATTTAGACATTGTAGATATGGGGCAGATTTGTACACCATGTCTATTGTTCTATTGTACTTGAATTGTAATGTATATTGCTACTGATCTGGTCACCCATTTTTTGTCCCTGTAGATAGAGGATGAGATGATCCAGTGTGTGGTTTGTGAGGACTGGTATCACGGGCGTCACCTGAGCTGCAGCCCTCCCTCCTCAGTCAGCTACCAGGAGATGGTGTGTGGAGCCTGCATGAAGAGATGCAGCTTCCTGTGGGCCTACACTGTACATAGCATTGGTGAGTAGCCCCATCTGCTGCACTTGTTGACTTAGAATCTTAAGATTCTGGGTTCGATTCCCAAGCAGGCCCCAATGTTGTGCCCTTTGGAAGGGAACTGGTACATCTATTTCCTCACTCAATTCAAGTAAGAATGAGTATGTAGCTTAAGTTAGGGATGTCGTTGTGGATGGGATACATGTAAGGAGAGTCTCACCATGAGCATGTAAAAGAAGCCACCACACTTCTTAATAAGAATAACAGTCCTTCCCGGTGTGAATGCCAGAATGGGTCAAACTTAACATCCTAATCTTAATGCAGCTTGAAATCAATAACATGATTTCTCTTAGTAGTTGCTATACCCTGCTTTTTTATGCTCATGTAGAAACTACAGTTGTGAAGAAGGAGGAAAGCGCAGCAGTGGTGGATGTGGAGTCCGTGAGCACCAGTCCCAGCGGGACTAAGTCTCTGAAAGGTGCTGGAGATGCAGCAACAACAGTTAAGGTAAGGACCAGGTCACTTCTTTCCAGGCTCCAGAGACAACTGAGAACCAGAACCTCCCATCCGAAAATGGCAGTAGGAAGTGTTGAAGATTGAGTCTTTTTCACTAGTCATTTTCAATGTTTTTTTCAATTTGCTTATTCGGTGAAAGGTTATACCCTGGTTAACAACTGTACTGAAAATCAAAAGGATGCTATTTGGCAGAACATTGTTTTTATTGTTGCTGTTCTGTCCAACTCACATGGATCTGCGGATGAATCCATCAGGTTGACTTTTTCTATTCTTCTTTTGTAGACGGAGACAGGTTCATCAGGGGAGCCTTCAGATGCAGCACAACATGTGACACTCCCTAATGGAAGCAAACCTGTCACAGCTGTAACAGCCGACAGCACTGAAGGTGCCACCACTTCAGCTGAGTCAGCAGAGAACAAGGAAGGACTGAATGGGGCAAAACCTGCAGCTGTGAACAAGGAGACAGCTGCTGCTTCAGATGCTGCCACAGCCTGTGAAGCTCAGTCCACCAGTGGAACAGCAGTAGACTCGAAGAAGGAGTGCAAGCTACAGGACCTACAAGACAGAGGGGTGACTGTTGGGGACCATGCCGTGTTCTGGTCTCAGGGCTGGAGAGCCAAACTGTGCACCTGTGACACGTGTAAGGTAAGGGACTTGTACACGTACACCATAATGCTTTAACCTGTCCAGTATTCCTAGGAGTAGGCATGCTAAGGCAAGTTAACTGACAAATTACAAGTTCTTAAGACGTGTGTAAATGTGTTGTCCCTGTGGCAAAGGCCCAATGTTTATACCATTATTAACAAAACCTAACCTTTGTCTTACCATTGTAAGTTAACATGTGTAGCCAATATAGAAGATTGGGCAAGATTTCATGTTGTCATGTTACACGACAGGGTCTCTATGAGGAGAAGAAAGTGACGTTTCTGCAAAACGAGGGTGACACAGTGCTGGCATACGAGCAGCGTGGTCAGACAGGACAGCCACAAGGCTCCACCTATGAGAAGGGGATGGAAGAGTTCAGCAAGATTAACAGGATACAACAGGTGGAAGTGTTGCATGGTGAGATCTTGATGAGCACTTGGCCACCTCCGGCTTGACGAGGAATGTTCTACATGTATCAACTCTCATAATTCCAATGTGTACATTAAAAACAAACAGGTGAATTAGAAGAGCGGTACTAATGCAGAATCAGTAATTCCAGGTATGCACACCTCAGAACTCATGTCCACGCCCAAGTGTTTTGATGTTTCTATGTGTTGAGCTTTGGTCATTCTTAGCATTCTCTTTCTTTCAGGATATAACGATATGAAGGATAACCTGAGAGACTATCTAAAGACTTTTGCTGAGCAGGGCAAGGTAGGTCATCTTAACTTTTAAGTTCTCTATGTAATGTTATTTTCCTCTATCTGAGCCATAGTATCTGGTGACCCTAATCAAAACAAGTGTAAAAGTCAAAATATGTGCTGTAAATTTTGAAATCATCACTGTTCATGGTTTTCATGGTGTTGACCTTAACCTGAAAACGTATCACACTGCAAACATGTTTTCTGCTTTCCGTTGTGTCACTACCATTGTTTCAGCCTCGAACTCAAACTCAAAGATGCAGTGAATCTTTGATCTTCACCATGCCCATTTACAGCACTGGGTTTATATGTACTTGTTCCTTCAGGTGGTGACTGAGTCAGACATCAGAGAGTTCTTCATGCGCATGCAGGACAGACGGAGACAGCAGGCGGCAGGCGTGCAGTTTAACTGCCGATAGAGAGAGAACACCAAATCACAAGACTGTCGGCCATGCTACATACTCCACCTGCACACTGTCACAGGAACTTATACATAATCAGACTACAGTATTGTAATGTCTTAAACGAAGTACAACATAATGTCTAGTCCTGAAATAAAATGGAAACCAGTGCACTGTTACCAGGTGTTACATTATACAAGGTAGCTGTAACCATCCATCTAGTATTTTCATAAATGTTCATACACACAATGCACCAAGCACTACTGAACCTGTGAGTCCTGCCTAATGGTAGACATACAGCTACACACACGGTACAGCCAGACCAATTCTGGATGTTGCTTTTAACTGTTAGTGATTTGATCTACCGCTGTACTCAGTGGTAGGGTTGAATATGACATGAACTAGTGCACCAGCACACCAGATGTGTATTACTAATGTGACCTTCAGTTGTTACCAGAAGCAAGTTACCAAATGTTCAGGCAGCTTCAAGATGTAATATTTATTGTGTATGAAGACACCAACACAACACTAAATGCTTCAGGACTGCCATGTTCTGGTTTGACATCCACCCTCCAGTTGTACATATGACACACATACTGTGGAGTTTTGTGGAATAAAAAGATACCAAAAATGACATAGACCTACTATCTGTTACACTCAGTTCAAATCGGACTCCACCTACTTCAGAAGCAAAGTTATACTGTCTGAAATGAAATGCTGTAATCTCTTGGTCAAACATGAAATAAAAGAAACTGCTTGGTGTCTTTGTGAATCTATAGTGATTGGTACTTTTTTAATGTTAACTGTAATGTAAAAAAAGCACCATCTATGCAATGACAAAGTTTTTATCTTAGAACACCATATTTTCTCAACTTCTGGCCCATTTTGCATTGAAATTTGAATATAATAGAACCTCCTTCCCAGCCCCCCCCCCCCCACTAGCCAGATTGCCTTCCAGCATATGGGATCTCCATGCAGTATTCTCTACATGCATACAGTACCTGCACACACACACCAAATATGCACAAAACAAAACACAGCTGGAAATTTTTAATTGTACTTCTTAATATACTTCAGATATACATCTTTTTCCCATTTCTAGATCTGTTGTAACAAATACCAACAAAATAATGCAAATCCAGAGTAGATGATAAACAGCATGCTTTCTTTAAATGTTGTAGCACTGGCAGTTGCAATCAGATAAGACTACAGGTTTCTTAACAAAGTAAAATGAAAGTAAGGTAAAGGTCCCAAGGCCTTTTGGAGGCCATAGGGCCGTGGTTGCTAATTCACTTGTCTTTTGGGGCACAGTTTTGGAAGGCAGAGTCCATATTCCTCCTTCCACACATGCTCAAAAGGTAGGCACCCATTTGAGAAAAGTCGTGTAAAATGCCTGTCCCAAAGATACCACGTCTTGCCAGGAATCAAACCTGTAATATCTCGATGCCATGTCCGCTAGCCTAACCACCTGGCTTTTGACAGCATGTGGCAAGATACCAGGTATTATTGCACATCCATGACAGATCAACACTTGGCACAAACTGAACTTTACAGTAACAACTTGTCAGTAAATCTCACTATTTGGGCACAACTGGACTCTTAGTTACTAGTATAACGTAACATCTTTGCCCATTTCAAGTTTAATGTATTGTCTATGATCGCAATTATTGAAAATGCTCCTGTCAATGCGATAAGGTCAACAAATGTTACAGATTAGAAAAGATTCCGGTATATACTGCACCAGGATTCAAGACTATTCATACCTTACATTGAAAACTACTCTGATCATTGTAGATCTTACATGATTGTTGGTTGTTCTGTATAGAGCTTCTATTGATGGTTCCCTACACTTGGTAACAAAATTTTGTCCTTTGGAAGACTGACACGTTTTTCAGGCATAACAAGAACCATCATACCATACATGACCAGATACATGATTTATCTTCAAACAATTTACAAACAAACTGTAACTGCATATTACAGACAAGATGTCAAGAATAAATTATTGCCATCAATCCCTTTGCTACACGGGTCTTGAAACTTCAAGAAACAGTTAACGAATATGTATACTGTTGTTCTGTAAGATGGACAAAATCTTCATTTGGCAACTCTGCTTCCCCCTCAACAATGACTGTTGATTCACATTTGGCTTTTTAGACAACCTTTAGTTTTTTAACTCCTTTTCTGATATGGAAACTTCACCATTTGCTTCCACTGTGGCACCGTTCATTTTGATAGCATCTCCATCTACAGACTCTCTCTCAGAAGAGGACTCCAGTCCACTGTCTTTCTCAGGTGTCTTTGATTCCTCTGCTTGTGATACTGAACCATTAGCATCTTTACTTCCTTCTGTCACCTCTGCATGTGTGTCTCCCTGCTGTTCTGTTCCCAAGTCCTCCTCATCCTCACTCAGCTCCAGCACTTCTTCTACAAACTCCCCGTCCAGTTCGTCTGTCACTTTGACAGTCAGAGCCACGTCGGCGGCTAGCTGCAGTATCTTCTCATCTATCAGCTGCGGGATCTTCTCCCTCTGGTTCTTGGCGTACTCTGCAGCGCTGCTGAGGATCTGCATCTCTGCCAGCTTCAGCTGCAGGGCTGCGCGGGTGTGGTACGTCAGGTCAGATGCCTGCAGCTCTGCCTCCACATCCTAGTCATTCAACAAAACATAGAAATGTCAAAAGGTGAAGCATTATGGTACACATACTAGTACTTGATGACTGCATTTTTAGGTTTGATTTTGATTTTTAATTTATTTGCACATACGTACTAAAAACAATACAAAATGTATTACAACGAGTTGCCCAAGGAAAGATGACCTCCATTCCTTGATTTTCGTGCTTTTGACCTTGAATGCCCAGGACTTTGAGCATAGGACTATGACTCTGTTTTGACGAATCAGACTTTTATGTTTACTGTATGTTGTCTCACTGTATGTTTCAATGTCTTGTGTAATTTTGCAGGGCCTCCTTGGAAAACAGCTGATACAAGCTGAATGGGGCTACCCAGCCGTCTTGAGATGAAATAAATAAATAAATGACTACAAAAGCTTTTTACTACAAATAGATGTAACTGACAGCTGGCCTAACAAGTCTGCCATCAGAATATTACAAAAGCCATCAATAAAATGGATACCAACCTTAATACTTGTTTTGTAGCTCCTGATGAGCAGTGAGAGGCGTGTCTCCAGGAAGGCCCAGGCCTTGGTCTCCTGCTCCTGGGTGACCATACAGTCCAGCCTGCCCAGGCAGCTCAGGTAGGCAGACTGGTGCTGACTCGTCAACAGGTCTCTCAAGTCACCTGGGGAAGTGTCCATCATTACAACAACTTTCATACTCTTTTTTTTTTAGAATGCTGGACTCTTTTTCGGGTATATTTTGGAGATCCAATTGTATGACATTACTTTTCTTATATTCAACTACTAACAGATTTATTGCAATGATTAAGGGTTCCCAAATTAAAGCAGTAGGTAGCTTCTTAAGAACAAGTAAGCATATCTAATACAAACATGTACTTATCAAACCAAAAATGTGAACAATAAAACTTGCACCGACCCTCCACCATGGTGAACACCCTCAGGAACACAAGCAGCTCAGGAGGGATGGGGTCCTTCCCACAATGCACCTGGAAGGTGGTGGACCTTGGAAAGAATGAGCAATTGGAAAACAGCTGTCAGTATGTCAGCTTTGTGCATCAAAGCAGGAAAAAGACTTCTCTACCCTAAGGTTTCCTCTTCCTGATATCTGACAAAAAAGTTTAGGTCACTATAAGAACTTTTTGCTGACAGTGGAAATGATGTGTACATGACTGCCATTAAAGACGACCTCTACACAGGATGTCTTGAAGTAAGACAAGGGCAAAGGGCAAAATAACTTACGCATGAATCCCAGCTCTGGAGAGGACTTCTGCTTTCATAGCAAACAGGCTGTCATTCTTGCTCACACCTAGAACACAATCAATTGATGTCTAAATGGCAAAGTATAATAATTTGTCCTTCTGGAAATTGGAAATTTGACAACATTGAAAGTCTTTTTATACCATGATTATGGTGCTGAATGTGTGACCTTTTAATTTCTATTCACATTTGACCCGATCACCTCTCATTAGACCAAAACTCTCATTACTGGTAGTGGTTCAAATGAATTTTAATGACAAGGAGATTTTCTAAGTTTGTGTTTTTTGTTGTCTTTCAAATCATACTTTTACATCATTGATCATATTCAACGTCAAAGGGTCATACAAATCTGGCAGAAAGGGGTCCTTACCCAGCTTGATGTTGACCCTATCGTGCAGGTTCTCAGGATACACAAAGCCGTTGTGTATGAGGAACTCAGCGTTGCTGCGCATGCCGTAGAAGATGTAGACCTGGCTGTCTGCTGGGAACTCCCGCATGGCCAGGCACTCAGCAGAGTCACTGCCCAGGTTAAACTCTGTACTGAACTAAAGACGGAGGAAAAACAAGTTAGTATTGACCTGCAGAAAGTGGCAGATGGTCCTCTGAAATGTCATCAGGAAAAAAATATTGATTGTATAGGGGCAACTTTGTTAGCAAGTGATTTACCAACCTTACAAAACCACTCAAGGGCTCAGAGAAGATGGTCACAGTGGACACTATAGACAGAGTTCTTAATGGATCTGTGGTAAAAATAACCACCAAAAATGGCCATGGTGGGCCTTATGCAGGATTGACTGTCTGAAGTTCAGGTCTCACCTCTCCGTTACTGTGATTACACATGTCCCACATGGGGATGAGTGCAGTGATAAGATGTCGGCCATCGCTGGTGGGCACCTGGTTCTGACGGGTCATCACCGTAGAAACTGCCCATCTAGGAAACAAACATGTCAGCTACAGTACTGTAACTACAGTATCAAGTTCAGGAATGTTCAGATGTTCCAGTAATTTGTTTTCTTTAAATATGTAACTGACATAGGTCACATATATTCACCACCCTGAAAAAAGGCATCTAGACATCTAAAACGTACTCCTACTTCACATACCAGAGGGGTGCTGACTAGAGATCTCTCAAACACAGTTTTTCAAAGTGGCAGATATGTGTAACCCTGAAGAAAGTTGTTAATGAAAGTTATGTTAAGTATTAGGGAAGGTTATGTTTTCCCTGTGTAGTACTTACCTGTACTCATCAAAGGTGAAACATTCTTTCAGTGGCAGTCCTGTGGCTTCAGGCTGAGTCTAGAACAATGGCACAAAGTTGCATTTAATCAGCCACTCTGTACTGTAACTATTCAGTAAGAACTAGTAAGCATAATACATTGTGGTAGTAGACATTCTACAACATAAACGCAACATCTTTCAAATACATGGATATCTTTATGTACCTGGAACAGCTTGTAGAAGTAGGCATACTGGCGGGCAATGCTCTTGTACTGGTTCAGAACATCACCTGAAAAAAAGGAAACAGTTGCTCAAGTACTGTATCTCAATTGCATGTTCTGTAACATTATATTTTAGAGCTGCAGAGTACATGGGATACCTTGTAGCTCATGTGATTCTGTTGAATTTCGAAAGTACATTTTTGATTATGTAGCTGTGATACGGATGTCAAGGCTAGCTAATTTGACCTCTATACTAGTATATATATTACGTACTGAAGTTGAGTGAGCCCTGTAGATGGAGCATCTCCCCTTCTTCAAAGTACAGAGGGGTGGTGTATGTGCCTGGAAAGATATCTGATAGATGTAGAGTGAAGGAACCAATGCTTCATGTAGAACATAGACATCAACCAAGCTCACAGCTACCAGCTCCATATCTCTTCAAGACACATCTCCAGGACAAGTTGCTTGCTTACAAAGTGTGATTAATATGCTAACCCATGCTGCAAATTTTTATAAGTAGCACATGTTGTGTAATTTTGACACTTGAACAGGCTGTGCAGAGCATGTGCATACCAGCTATTCCTCTGTGAACTAACTCTGCATGAATTACAACAGCTGGAAAGGAGGTCAAACCTTCCACATCCCCCTCCCGGCCAGCAAGACATGCCTCTAGCATGTTACAAAGCAGTGTAAAAGGATACTGATGTAGGGAGCCCAGAAGGAGCTGGACGTGTACTTTTCACACAGAACATGGAGCGCCAGTGACACATTAGCCATCACCTGCAGAATCCTGTCTTTCTTTATCAGTGGACCTGAGAGGAAACAGAAATCAGTCTAACAACAAGACAAATCTTAGCATGAAAGTTCATCTGTGTTGGTATATATTATGATAAAGGTTTATAATTTGGGGAAAATTTGGGGTAAGTCCCAATTTATTTGGTGTTGGTCACGTAAAGTTTAACCTTTATCATAACAAGACAAATCATTTATTCAATCACAGTTTTGCTATCTACTGACAAAGGAACAGCCAGTCTAGTAAGCATGAAGTCTTTCCTACCCAGACTGGACTCTCTTGCTGTTTCTGTTGTCAGCATCAGTTTACGAGGGATGGTTATGAACAACTCCTCGGCCTGCAAAGCAAAATGCTGTGATTATAGCTCTGAGACAAATCTTCCATCAGTCAGGGTTTTACATAACACTTCAATGTGATAATCATTCGTGTGTGATACATGAATTTTCAAAGTGGCAAGATGTTGAAACATGGAACATTTCTTAATGACAGAGAAAATCTATTCAATGCAAATATCCACAATGCAAAGCGCTGCTCATTTTAGACTCTATTTGAAATTTGCTAGTGTGGGAGATGCAATGCTTCCCTGTAGATATATCATTAATTCCATAGCAAGGTGGGTGCATGATAGGGTATGTAGCCTCAGGGCAGTGACACGAGGTTTGGTATGTAATGATTGTCTAGACAGCAGATTTGAATACTACCTTGATGTCTTTGACAGCCTTGAGTCCAAACCCTCCCACCTCAAACTGCTCTATAGTCACAGCATCAGTCTTCACACCATGGTCCTCCAGCCACTTCAGGAACACAGGGAAGCACTGGTCTCGTGGGACTGGCTCAGGGGTCCAGCCTGGGAAGGAGGAATAAAAAAAACAGCTCAGACAAATATTCATCATTTATACAATCTTTGCAGTAATACAAATGCATCATGGATAGAATTTTTCACATCAAGGTTTTCAATGAATTCTGTGTAACGTTAGCTACTGGAAATATGATTGTGGATCTTAGATTGAGAGTTTATCTGTGCTGGTAGAAATCATTCCAAAACACAATCACAATCAATTGTTTGTAGTTCCTACGGGGAAAAGCCCCATAAAAGGATGTTCCATGTCTACTACCTTCCTGTTTCTTTCTGATCCTCTCCACCACCTCCCTGATGGACATGTGTTCCTCCAGTTCTTTGCCAGGGGGCACCCCAGGACTGCTGGCCTCTGGAAATAGAGTCCAATTTTAGTAATCGTACAGACTTCACAGCATGCAATGTTTCCCACATAGCTTAGTTATACTTGGTAAGCTTAATTATTTTACCTTATTAGTTATAGGTGCAAGGGTGAATGTACCTGTAGGTACCAGAAGGAATGAGAGTTGACCTCATATTTTGTCAAATACTTGTCTCAGGACTGGTGACTTACTCTGCAGAAGTTCGTTGACAAGAACCATGACCTCACGGACATCCTTCTTGTTCCTTCCGTTGGGTTTGGTGTTTCCACTGCCGCCGCCTTTCCCACCGCCCGCTGACCCTCCGGCACCGCGGTCACGCTTGCTTTTCTTTCCCATGGTTCTATTACTGCCCAGGAGAAAATGAAGCCAAGAGTAACCTTTAACTTTTAAGTTCCCAGGAAGATCTTGACTGGACAGGAATGATTAACCATCATTCCTTTACAAAGTAAATTCACAATGTTAGCATGGTTATAGTCCTATATTGAAGAATGTGTCATCTTGACAACTTGAACTTGGTTTTAATGTGATGCTCTATTGACCAAAATGATAATCCATATGAAAATCACTGCCATTGTGAATGCCCTATAATTGCACAAATGCAACAGCAACTGTATGTTGATTTATCATTATCAGCCTTGTACTTTTGTCGAGTCGAATGATGACATGCTCCTCCTCCTCCTCTTACATTCAGAATCTTCCAACAACTGAATAACCAAGTATTGGAGCATGGAGCTGAAAATAGAATCTGTGCACCCTGAATCCTCGATGAATTCAGAGCAAAATGCGAATGAAAAACACCACGATTGAGCCGTTTATAAGCTGAGAAACAGATGCAAATGTTCTATTTCCCTTCCGAAGAAATAATTCCTCACAGCCTACCTCAATCGCAATATTTAAAGGGTTTTCTGGGGCCTGTGCCTCACTGTCTTCACTGGATCAGCCAGCTACATGCTCCTTACCGGAACATTATAACAAATAGGGTCCACTTTCTTTATAAAATCAAAATTTCCCGGCAAATCGCTAAACAAGATAAGCAAATACGTTTTCAAGGATGCTAAATCAAATACAATATTTTATATGCACCTTTTTATGTCGTTTTTCTTTTCTGATTTGATTACATTTATGACCCAAAAATGATTTTCTACTTACTCCTCCCTACAAGTAATGGTATAGCCTGCGCGAGTTATCCTGCGCAGTTGTGCTGTCCATTCAGAAACTGTACAAAATGGCGACTTGAGGAAAGAAAGTCTCGAGTTTGTAGCTGTTCGTGGTGTTTTGGGCGTTATTCCTGAAAAATTACGACAGACGTTGCACTACAGATTATCAGGTAAGTACAGGGGCGCTTTTGAGGTTGAATTCTGCCGGTAGCCCCCAGGAAATGGAGTATTTGGCTCATGATTTGATGTGGCTGATTGTCGGACGTGGTGTGTGGTTGCCGGTGCGTCGTTGCCGCACGAAATTATGTCTGTGGTGGAACTTATATTATACATGTATAACATTTCCACCGTAACTTGGTGGCTTCTGCTGGCAGGCACCACGTGCAAAGTTCCAAGGGAAAGTGTAAGTTCGGATTTTTGCAGAAAGAAATTATACCTGAAGCTAAACCACAACAAAAGTTGCACTGGGGAAAAAGTTCACATGTAACGTTAACGTGACAAAATTTATTATTATATTTTCACAAATTTCAGCTTCCATACAAAATAATTATGTGTAGAAAAGTAAGTTCAGATCATAGCTATCTTGCACATTACCAATCTTGACAATAAACTAGTATGCCATGTTGAAAATTTCTATTGTAACCCATAATTTCCTTTATGTCCCAGAACTGAGAATTAGTCACAAGCACGATGCCCTGCTGGTACTATGAGAAGAAGGACTTGTTGTGCTCGCCCTCTGCCACTGCTGGGGTGGACTATGCTACGGAGTGTAGGTACAGACGGGAGGGAGCCAGGTTTATCATCGATGCAGGGACAGCACTGGGATTGTATCCTTTTCTTTGCAGTGGACAAAATGGCTTTAGTAATATTGTTGATATTCATGTCACCATTTGGTCTATCATCTTGACATGATTATGTTATACCAGCTTTTGAATAATACTTCAAATAAATTTTAATTTGATTTATTGTTGGAGATTTATTGTTTAAGATTAGTGTGACATTTTAATGTTATATCCTTGACAATATCTTACAGAAAGCCACAAACCTTTGCCACCGGAGTTGTATATTTTCACAGATTCTATATGTTTCACACATTCAAGGATTTCAACAGATATGTAAGTACATAACATATGTTTCTGACTGAGTTATGAGTTTGTGGTTATTCTAGAGGGTCACTGCACGTTTATAAACACTGAATACTTCAGAATTTACAGTATGAGACGTGAGAAAATCTGCTTCCAAGTTCTATTTGATACATCATGCTATCTCAGCCTGTCTGTACCTGGAGGTCAGAATAAATGACACTTTTCTGTCTAACTGTAACAGGTCACTGGTGCCTGTTGTCTGTTTCTGGCTGGGAAGGTGGAAGAGACTCCAAAGAAATGTAGAGACATCATCAAAACAGCACGGGCCTTGCTGAATGATAAGCAGTTTGCTCCGTTTGGTGATGATCCCAAAGTACAGCAGGTAATATTTTGTTACTAATGCAATTATATACATGTAGTTATGAGTGGTGCAAGTAAAAGTTATCTTATAATGCAGCTCAGTTTTAATGTCACCTGCACCTGTTTATATAAAAATGTGTGCAGAAAAAAAAGTACTTTGGAGCTCTGGTTAATATTGTCACAATGTCACCATTCTTTCATTTGAAGCATGAAGCCATGAACATGTCGTGAACCTGTATGCTGTGTTACAGGAGGAGGTGATGACACTAGAACGGATCCTCCTGCAGACCATCAAGTTTGACCTACAGGTGGAGCATCCCTACATGTACATCCTCAAGTATGCCAAGTCACTCAAAGGTAGGTGTTCAAAGCAGTAACTTTTGATAGCTGCTTGTTTTAGCCTTATGTGAAGGGTTGCTGTGTTTCATTATATCAGTCCCTTGTAGTTTTTATCAAAGGGTACATGTGCCTGAAATTTAGTGAAAAGCATATTACAGTCAAGACGTGAGTAGTGCAATGACTCTATGTAGTGGAAATCAAAAAGCTGTTTACTGCATATACATGTATTATATATACATGTAGAATTATGTACACCTTTTTGCCATCTGATCCATGGTAGAAGTTATTTAAATGTATGGTGTTCTATCACTATCCTACCAGAAAATTGCTTAGAGAAGCTATGGATATACATATTGAGTTTGATCTTTTTGCCCCTGCAGAAGATGCCCAGTCTCTGACTCTAGACAAGAATAAGTTGCACAAGCTGGTACAGATGGCATGGACGTTTGTCAATGACAGGTACAGTTTTTAAGTTCTTGGGGACAGTGGGGTGTGTGTTTGTATAGATTCCAGTATTTTTCGTATAATGAGGGTTTCGTATACCTCATATTTTATCTGCTTCATGTGACAGAAGACTGACGGAAGATACCATAGTAACAGATGTTTTCCCATCCTGCAGCCTGTGCACCACCCTGTGCCTCCAGTGGGAACCACAGATCATTGCCATCGCCATCATGCACCTGGCAGGCAGACTGACCAAGTTTGACATGCTGGGGGCCGTGCAGTCCAACGCTGACAAACCTGTCAAGAACTGGTGGGACAGGTTTGAAGAGGATGTGTCCTTGGAACTTTTGGAAGGTACCAGTACTGTACATCAATTTCGCAATAGGGGGAAATCAGGCATTTACAGCTTGCTTACAGAGTGTATTTACTGACAAAAAATCTATGTTATTCATTGTTGGATGATTTCAAACATAAAAGTGCCACATGTATTTCAAGATTTACAGTAGTGGAAAATCATGCCAGGCTTTTGTGTTAATATGTATTAGTTTAAGAGGATGATAGGTATTTCAATCCTTTCTCCCTACAGACATCTGTCATCAGGTGTTGGACCTGTACTCTCAGCCCCAGGGCACATCCACACCCTCCCCTCCCCCTTCTCCTGCCTCCAGACCTGCCAAGAGACAGAGAATAGTAAGTGCTAGGAACAAAAGACTAAATCACAGAACAACAACTGTATGTCTTTGAGAATGGTTTACAAGATCCTTTTTCTATGATGTTTTGAGCTATTTTGAAGGGGAGGCAGATACATTTGTACATTTCCTTTAGAGGCATATTGTGGATAATGCAACTACTGTAGGTTGGTCTCAATGGTTCACTACCAGCCATTAAAGTCTATAGGAAATGTTATGATTACCCTGTCCCTCAGGGTTGACAGATGATGATGATTTCTCTTGTCCAATTGCAGGAATCTCCTGGCCAGATGGAACCAAAACCCTCCACGCAAGGTATGTCTTTCTGAAATGACTATCACTTTTAAAACAAGGTTATGCATTTGGCCCTTTTCCATGGCAAGATATTGACTTAAAGTGCAAATAGATCAGGTGTAGCCATGCTACTGGAGAAATGAAGATGTACTTAAATCACAACATGGATGAATGTATGTTCTGGTAAGTGGAGCCAGGAAATGCTGGTCACAAAAGGTTGATTCCCCTTAGTTCTTGTATATGCTGCAGTTTCTCGCAGTTTTACAGTTTATCTTACTTATCTGGTCTGATTGCTCAACCAAGTGTTTAAGCAATCATGACCTCTGTGCCCCCAGCTGCAGCTAATGGAGTGCCTAGTGCAGAGAGAGCCGAGTTTCTGCAGACGACTCTTCCCAGGAAGCAGTCCCCTCCTCCTCCACACAGAGCTATCACAGCGCTCCCACCTCCTCCACTTCATCTGTCAAGTCTTCTCCCATGGAACCCCAGTCTACAGCTAACACAGAACTGGTCTCCATGGGCATATCAGAGAGTTCCAATCCTCCCATAGAGCAGAACCCCGCTCCCAGCACCTCCACACAACTTCCTACTCTCCAGGCTTCTGCCAGCAGCACCTCGGTGCACCAACAGGTCCCTTACAATTTCAAGGCTAGCGGATTCACGTCACAGATCCCCTCTACCCTCGGGTATGCCACCTACTGCACCGGGCAGTAAGCCACCTCCAACACAGGCTTACACCCAACCTCCTCCCCCCACACATCAACCAGCGTTTCCCCCTCCTGGGCACCCCCCTCCCAACTACCCACCCCCAAGCATCCCTCCGCCCAACTACCCACCCCCAGTCCCACCTCCGGGTCCCCCACCCCACAACACAGCAGCCCCTCCTCCTAACTTTCCCCCACAGGGGGTACCGCCTGACCCCTCTCTGAGTCAGACCACAGGGACCACCACTTATTTACCACCCAAGGGTACGGGAGACATGAACTTTGGACAGCAGGGCTCCGCTGGTGGTTACAGTTCCCAGGGTACAGCAGTGGGGTCTGCCAGCTCCAGTTATGGTGCGGATGGGTCCAGTATGGGGGCAGGTGGTTCCACCGGGTACAGTCAACAGGGGCCGGGGTATGGGACCAGCCAGCCCAACTTTGGGTCAGATAACTTTGCACAACAACAAGGAGCTCCGGGTATGTATGGCCCAAAAGGTGGTGACAACTTTGGGAGCACTCAAGGCGGTCACTATCAACAAGGCAGTGGCTATGGTACATCAGGTGCAGGTGCTTCAGGCTACAGTGCGCAGGGTTCAAGTGGGGGAAACTTTGGCCAGCAGGCTGGTGCCTACGGGGCAGGAGGGAGTGGTGCCAGCTACGGACAACCTGGAGGCAACACCAGCTTCAACCAGAGTGGAGGCTACCCTGGATCAGGCAACTACCAGGGGGGCCCAGGGAAGGGGGGTGGCTACTCAGGAGGGGGGTATTCTGATGGCAACCAGTTCTCCTCAACACCGTACAAACCACCACATACTCCCACCACCCCGGGCTACCCCACCCCACCCATGGGCGGCTCCTCCAGTTTCCAGCCCAGAGGACCCCACTATGACACCCCGCGGGGCCCTCCCCCCACAGGCCAGAACAGCTCTGCCCCGACTGCAGGACTGCCCAGTATCAGGATAACAGGCAGGGACGGCATGTGGAATAGGAGAGACTCACGGGGAGGCTGGAACAGATAATCCAACATTATATCTGACGAAACTGTTTTTTTGTTGTAGTTCATTCCTGTTACTCCAGTTTAAATCAGAGCAACTCTTTTCATCTTCATTTTTGTCAAGTCTGAAAGTGTCAAAGTCACTCGATTCTTGTTTGCTTTGTCTGACCTAAGTATTGAATGCGTATTTGACAGAAATGTAATTCACCTCCACTCAAGTCAGTGATTGAACCTAGCAGTTTTGCAATATGTCAAGAAACTAGATAAATTCTCTTCAGTTAGTATGTTTTAGATAGCATCCAATATCTTTCATCAGTGACAGAACGACCTATCTGAAACCTGACTTTTCAGAGAATTTATCCAGTTGTTAGAATTTTATATTACGTTATATTCTACCAGGATATCTAACCTTCATCGATGAAGTAGTAGTTGTTTCCCCACAGTAATGTGAAGAAGTGTGACAACTCTTCCAGACTGTTCAGTAGTATTGACTCTGCAAGCTGTCATTCCAGGAGATTTCTGTGCAGTAGTTGGTTGTTGCTAAGGAGTGCAGGATATTTTCCCAGATTTAATTTAGCTGTCACAGCTGGAGGTCACTGACGTGTGTGTCCACTATGTGGTCAAGAATAAAATGTACATGTACACTTACAGCCTGCTTCTCTGGTTGTCTTAACTGTTTTCATCTACTCTTTCAAGAGTTATCATAGTCACCATAGTAAGATTAGAAAGAGACGCATTGACGAGACGGTAAAGAATAAGCAAAGACGATGCTGTACCGTATTTCCGGCATGTTTATGCTGATGACAGGAATATACAGTAGTGGCATGACAAAGAAGCCACAAAGGACTGCGAGGGTTCTAAATATGCACCAACAGGTAATATTGATGTTCTATCTACAGGAAAAATATATAAATACTACAATACTGTGGAAGTTCCATCCATTACATTATTATATAAATAGCTGTCAAATCAACAAAACCCATGCCACGCAACAGAGATTACCAAGTCTCCAAAACATCTGCCAAAGTAAGATCCTTCACTCGTATCTACTGGTACAGGTGGTATAAATAGTCTGCTAATCGTCCCATGTCAATACATCAGGGCAACACAAGCACGATGCAAATTTCTCCTGCAACTTCACATGGCTACGTAAATTTCACATACATTGAACGTAATATGTCGGTGGATAAATGCATTTATGCCTTATATAAGATACATACAATGTATTTACAATGTAGTGCTGCAGTACACAATGTGGTATACCAGTAACATGACAGTGCAGCTACATGGCTGACTAGCTGCACAGTTTCAAGGTACAAAGCACTGTAAGATTATCAGTTTTGGCAACAATTAATTTAAGTTGCACAACTTTTTACTAAAACACCTGAAATTCAAACAAGAGACGATTCAAGTTGCTCCATTACATAGTTTAGGTCCTTAATTTTTAGAACAGTACAGTCACAACTGCATTTAAGATATGTATAGCACTACTAGTCAAACAAATGTATCATGTAACACTGAAACAGTAATACCTACTATTGGCACAGTTGACAATATACTATGACAGAAAGCACATTTCTGCTGAAGTCAACCATTTCATGTGTTTCAAAAAGAAATCTTGTCAGTATGTCTCTACTCTTGCCTGTTTGCAGTTTGAACACAATGCACTATGGCACTGCAGAGTGTGAAAACTTCTTTTGGTTCCATCAGTTCATGAGGTTTGACACTGGTTATTCACATTCTTATCTACCATTTTACACAATAACTCTGTACACATGCTGTCACTGCCAACCCAGGACCTTCTGTGCATCATTACCAAAGTCTGACAAAACCTGCTTTGTTCCTGCATGCACATCTCAACAGGGTTCAGTCTACTACACCACCTTCCTCACCTTGTCATATACAAGACAAATTCCCAACAAAGTTAAAACTTCTACAACACATACTTTTTAAAAACAGCATTTCATGTCCAATTCTCTTCATTCGACTTTTACTTGATTGAAACTACAGTTTTGTCTAAATCTTGCCAACATTACTGAGAGGAAAATGTTGTCAAATCTTTATGTTGCGTCGACTCATTGGCAACTTGTCTGCTTTGTTTGTCGCTTTAAAATGCAGCTATAAAATACGATGCAATTTTCAGCTAGGACCCCTCCGCATGCAGACTGATGGTATATACCAGACTCAGATCTCTGGATCAAAATGAAGGACCACAGATAGATGTACATGTATCTGAGTGAGAAAATTAACACATGTTCTGCATAGTATGGAGTGTTCAGGCTATTGTAACACAACATCCCAGCTGTGATACACACTCCCTTCCCTTCTCTGGGATTGTCCACCAGTCTGCATGTACAGGGGACCTGGTCTGTGCTGTTTGTCTATCTCCTGGGTGGAGGTGGTTCTGTGTCTCTCACCGGAACATCCTTCCCATTTGCTGCAGGCTTCCTGTCGCCCAGCTTACGCCAAACCACCTGCAACACAGGTGAACATCTAGTTAGGTTTCTACATATCAAACACTTTACCTGCTGGATGAAACATGGACAACAAATTTTTGAAAACCAACAAGATTCATTTAATGCTAGGTGTTGAATGTTTGGCACTCTGCAACGTGTACACAACACCTGATTAAAAACCAGTAACCAGGCACATTAGAGTGTGAAAGTATGAAAACTTTCTAACTTGCATGCAGATTACATGACATTGATTGGTTAAGCAGAACTGAACCAACAACATGTAAGAGTGATATCACATTGTCAAACAGTGGGTTACAATAACTGTAAGGATCTGAGCCAAAGTGCTGTGAGTCTTCAGGGCAGGAGTCTGCAGGTTGTCCTGAGGAATGAGATGTGTTACACAAGCCTGTAAGCTGTGAGGCTGTGGAACCTGGAACTTACTGGTGAGCCATGAAGTCCACAAGTGTACTGTAGTCTGTGGAACACACTCTCTCACTGCCCAGGGTTCTGTGGAGCCTGACCAGTGAGGGGGCTGCCAGAAGCAATTTTTAATAGTTGGGGAACTTCAGTAACCATTCTGGACATAAACTGTATGCAAATTGTCAATTTTGTCTGAAGTTGGCTACACGATCTGTTAAAAACCACTTTCAGCAGGAGATGTAGGATCCAGCTTGATTTCAGTGTTTTACACATTTGCAGCTTTATGTACATCTTTTTATGGCAGTAGTGTTCCTCCAGACAGGGCCTGTGGGCATCCATGTACCCAGTCCTACAAAGCTGCATGGTTACCAAAACTGTAGGCAACTCAGTATGTAAGATAGAACTGTACACATTAGTCTGGATGAAGAAGAATGACATGAAAAATAAGGAAGCTGGTGGTGTGACTTTTATAGGAGTTCTTAACCAGCCAAACCTTCCCTCCATGTTCTGGACTTTCCGCATTACTCTGAGTCTGAATCCTACAAAGAAACAAGAGCAGCCAGCTCAAGTTTACAATGCAGATGCATATAGAACAGCACAGAAAAACAGATACACTTGGGATTTGAACTGGAAAGTATAGAAAATACAGGTAGGTCTATGAAGAGTTTGAATTCATCTTGCCCATGCCAACATATGGATAGAAAGGTGACAAGTCAACAGAACATAGGTCAAGACAGACTACATAATAACTGTCCATCTACACAAGAAATACTGATTGGATTGATGATGTCCTATCCATGAAAGTCGGACTTGCCTGAAGCAATACTACAGGATAGGAAGTAAAATAAGGGGTAGCATCTCCATACTTACATTACACATCTCTCTGACAATGGCCTTCTCCTTCTCACTCAGCTCCCCATTATATTCCTCCGTCTCCCTGTCCAGCTTGTCCATCTGCTCATGTACCTCCAGCACCTGCACAGGTGAGCACACAATCCAGGTGTTAACTCTAACACACCATCGACAAACCTGTGGTGGCCCCAGCACAGGCTGAGACCAGGAAACTACAGGCCTGTTCCACAGGTCACAAAGTCCACCTGAAGAGAAAACATGCCCAGGAGAGGTTTATTACAGATACAGACAGCTGGAATGTTAGAAGAAAAGCACAGGGACAGCAGGCATCAGAGAGAGAGGGGTCAGTCACATCTCTTATTACCACATAGAAAGTGTCAGTTTTGCTAACGTTTACTTTGCCGTAACAATATAATAACATGTTCTAGTTCTTTGCTTAACATTTGTTTTCCTTTACCATGTGCTGTTACACAATCTGTGCTCTAGCTGAGCAGCTAGCTTGACATTAGTGTTTGGTCATCCCTAAGCAGATGTGGGGTCCAGCTCAGTGTAACACGCAATTCAGGCTTCTTGTACATCTTTGTAGAAAACATGTCAATTCAATTCAGTCTTTATTAAAACAACTCGCAGACTTAAGTCTGAATTGTGTTGCTCATTACAATATTCGGGGAACGTTAATAAGATTACAGACAATCATCTTAAGTAAAATGCGCTTTCGTTTACAAATATAATACATTACATAACATTACAAATTAAAATATATCATAAAACACAGAAGAGAAGACGTCTGTGCCGCTGTGTCACTCAGTGTATAAGGTACTGCAGACACGACAGATAAGTGAAGTCTGAGCGCAAGTACTATATTGATTACTTGGCATTTAACAGTTCGACTAAAAAAGGAATTGGTGAGTTCTTGTGACGTGCAGACCGACAGAGTGGAACATCAAATTTGTTAGCATTACGTGTACTTCTACCGGAAATGTTCTGTCTCAGCGGGGGCAACCAATCACGGAACTCAGAGTTCAGCAGGGATTCTGCAAATGCCCTACAAAGTTCACGACGTCGGTCAGCAAGGGAGCTGAGGTTCAGGGTTGTCAGTGCCATGTTATAGCTCGAATACTGTGATCCCAAGATGATTTTACAGGCCCTCGTCTGGATCCGTTCTAGAGTCTTAGATTGTTTAGTGGTCAAGGCCGGATGCCACACGGGCACTGCGTATTCCAGTAAAGGGCGCACATACACGGTGTAGACAGACACCAGGTCAGGAACTGACACACCGAATCTCTTCAGTCTCCGTACCATGTAGAGTCTCCTATTTGAGGATTTCACCATACTGTCCACTTGCTGGTCCCATTTCAGATTGTTTTGAATCGTCAGGCCGAGAACCTTGATGCATGTCACGGTAAACAGGGTCTGTTCACTGATGATCAGTGGTTCAGGTGGGGGAGGAACCTTAGCGAAACAGATCTGTAGCACTTTGCATTTCTTCGGGTTCAAAGCCATCTTGTGGTCGCTAACCCATGTGCTCAGGTTATCAAGAGTAAGTTGGAGTGTACATGGTTGACGTATCAAGCGAACATCTGCAATGTTCATATCATCCACGTACTTCCATCGGTTAGCCACGTCACGCAGAGCTCCATCAATCAACGCCATAAAGATGACTGGTCCAAGTATAGTTCCTTGTGCTACGCCACAGCTGAGGTTGAGCCAGTCTGAGGATGCGCCCTGGTAGATCACTCGCTGCCGTCGGTCAGTCATAAAGTTGCAAATCCACGGGATCACAGCCGGGCGAACACCAAGGTCAAGTAGGGATCGAATAGCGAATGTCTATTTTCACAATGGGACAAAAGCATGCTGGTAGCCCGATAGCTGGATTGTACAGCTTGGATACAATCTGTTACAAGTTGATAACATCCCTGAAACACTGAGCCGGACCCTACATCTGCTTGGAGATCAATCATGTTCGTGGATCACTGTATCCGACCTTCAGCACAGAGATATAGCACACACTTGACCCTGGACTGGAATGCCTTGTGCTATTCTTGTGTTGAAGATTTATCAGCTCGTCATCTGTCTCGGGAGCCACAATTTCCATCTTCTTACACAGGGATAATGTAAAATCGTCGAAAAGCATTTCTACAAAAAGCATGTTGAAATATCTTCATTGCCATGTTTTTGATCTGTTATTTCATAGTGTCTGGCTGCATCTAGATGTTACCCTATCAAAGACCCGTAGATGACCTGGGTGCTGACCCTGGCAGACACAAGCATGTACCCGATACGTGGCTACAATCTGTCCCAGTCACGTTTTGACATAATGAGAGTTTAGCACCTGCCAGCGATGTTACATGCCCAAATCATGTTGTATCTATGTTGTTCTTACATGACCTTATGTTGATTTTTAGGAGTTGGGCCTTGCTGGTGCTGTAATGCATCTCATATTTCTCCTGGTACATGTATAGTAACCATGTTTCGTCAAAAGAACTATTGCCACTTATGACACATTGAATATAAGACCACTTTACATAAGATATAAATTGTTGTGCATTATTGGTGGTATTGTTAACAACATATTTTCTACAACTATCCTGCATGAGCCACTAGTGGCAGAAATAAATAACATAGTTACTTTTAGCACACCGAAGTAGCTCTTTGGCTACCAATTCTCTATTGGGTTAGGCAGCAGGGAGAAGGTTACAATGTTTCGATACCAAGTTAAAAAAAGTCTTGGCTCTTTCATCTATATATTGCAGTGAGGGTAACAAACCCACTTGAACTTGATTCCACTGGCTCTAACAATATACAGCTGATATTCTGGTTATTTCCTTATTTACTCCAGTATCATAAGAGGAGCGGCTTCCTACATTCCAGTCTGTCTGGCAGCCGGGCAGCTACAGAAACAGACACTTCCTCTGACCTGACAGCACTGTGTATTACCTCACCCCTGCTAACCCTGCTGTAATGTTGGGGGTGTAATGTACTATCAGTCCTAATGCTTATAACAGCAATCGATCTTAATGCAACATATCAACAGTTTGTCAAACATTGCTCGTTGAAATGTTGATCACTTCAATACTCCTGTATTTCTAAATGAGTTGGTTCCAAACCTCAATATGGACCAGTTGTGTTTCGATTTAGAACAGTAAGGAACTCGCTTTTAGAACAATCATTACAGTTTTATCCAAACACCCTGTCATTTCCAGATTCCACTGAGAACCGTGGCTGGATGTTGATATGGCAGCTGCATAAGGCGCAAAACTAACTCCACACTCTGGCTGTACAAAACCATGCTGGCACTATATCAGTACATGGTATTTAGTGTCTCCTTTACATGTGTGTTCAAGGTTTCAGAGTGCCGATATATTTGGTTTTGAGGTCAAAAAGAGGCCACTGCTGCCGTGGTCAATGGATGAAATGTCTCCTGTAGAGACTTTAATCCCATTGACACTATACTTATAAAAACATCATTAAGTTACATTACAAGTTTGGTTAGATTTCTATAGGATTTTTTACATCTGAAAGTTTGTTAAGTGTGTCAAATACAGAAATAGCTGAGCAGGTGCAACAAAGAACAACAAATAACACAGCCTTAGAAGTTCAGCACCCACACCAAAAGATTTGGAAAGTTAGCAACAAACAAACAAACAAAAAACAGTGAAAGATTCCGTGGTGTAGTTTTACTCCAGTAGAAGTTACAGGACAGCAGAGAGGACATCACATGTAAGGTCTCTGGTTGTTACCTTCATTGCATGCACAACTGCCTCTGGCTTCTGTGGCAGCGCGGAGGAGAGGTGGTCACCCTGCCAGGAGGAACCCTACAGAATCCACACCGTAATAAAGGGTAGAGAAATGTCAGCATTGAGTTGGTACAAGTGAAAGGGACATCCCAGCGCCTCTTCATTTTAAGCTGTCATCCTCATATAGTTCACTCTACAACATGCCAATCATTGTCAGTGCTGGTGCTACTACTGTACATCTCATTTTATTGAAGCGTGCAAGTTGCAGAAGCCCTGCAACAAATGTGGCAAGTGAACTTCCATGCTAATCATACCAGAATGCACGGAATATCTTTTCTTAACTTTGCCGTACATGTACAGGTTTCAACAGCCATGTGAGAGAAGAACTTCTGTATGTAACTACATGTAATTAGGTTATCCACAATTCCCATTTTACCAACTGCAGCAGTCTAACAGCCCCAGCTTTTAATGCTTATCAGTGCTGTTTGCTCAATTCCTAAATGCACCTGTTCAATCACCCTACAGGCTGTCTTTAAGCACCTTTTAATAGGTACCTACATTGTGCAATAAATTACATGGTTGAAATGCAGACCTTTGTGATCTTAACAACAGAGTCACTGTACACTATTGCATGGCATACGTTACCCCAGTCAACAAGTCAACATATAATCTGCTGATACAAGTGGCTTACTTAGTTAACCTTAGAAGTGAAGAAATAAAGACAATGGTAGAAAAGACTGTTTACAAAGTCAGCTGCAGGTAGGTTAAGATAATACCCAAAGCAAACAGGGGATTTAAGATGATCCCCCCAGTTAGCCCTCCATACCGTTAACACCAGGCACCTTCACCCCTTTTAAGCACTACAGGATCCTGGTTCATATGGTTTCCTCATGTACCTGTGATAATCTGTACAAATGTCATTGTGTGAAAAGAACTGAACTACCAGACAAGATCTGTTCAAAGAAACAGTGACCACAGCATTCCAGCCAGACCTGACTGCAGAGGGAATTTGTTTCAGAGAAAGGAGTCAAACTCAAACTCAAGTGGGCATTAGAAATCTTGGGTGTAGGGAATTTCTAACACGTTGGAATGCAAGGAAATTTTCCCCCCAAAACAATGGAAACACACCATAAACATTGCTTTTATGCATCTGTTTCTCTGACATTTGTCACACTTTGATGTCCTGACAAATGTATATTATAGGATGCCCATAGACATCACAAAAGCATCCACCACAAAAAGGACATCCAGTGACACCAAAGTGCCTGTCTGGCTGGAATGCTGACTGCAAGTCACCAGAAGAAAAAGCATCTTACCTGATATCTCCGATACTGAGGCTTTGAAAACAAATGTGGAGAGAGTATTAGTTACAACAGGGGTTGACGATGAGATGTTGTTATATAACACCAGCATGACATGAGAGTGTGTGTCTACAGTGTTAGTGTTATAAGACAGGTGAGGATGAGTGAGTACTTACGTTCATGTTCATAACAGGTGTGACGGATCCACTTCTCTGAGAGCTTGGGCTGGGTGTGTTGACCCTGGGGGAGGCAAAAAACCTCCTGTCCAGGTTCCCCACCCTATCCAGTTTCTGTTTATGGTAGGACAGAAAGTGGGGCACTTAGCAGAGCTCTCTGAGCGCCTCTGGCCCTCCTGGGATGGACACTCAGGGATCGAAATACTTTTTTTTCTATAACCAGCAACATTGTCAGAAATTTTATCTGCAATTTGTAGAAACTTTCTGCAAATACCAGTGCCACTGATCCTATCCTATCCTATTTCTGTCTGCATTCACAACATTTTTTCAGCACGTTGCAGGTTGCAGGTGGGTACAAAATGTATTTCAAGCCCTGCTGGTCCATTTCTCCTTTAGACATAGCCATGAGGTTTACATGTATACATGTACTACGAGCACATGTCAGTGCACACACGGACACGCAACACAATCACAGATCATGCAGTGGAGCCCACCGGGTGAGCGGTGACAACCCTCACATACATTCAATGGTGTCAGTTAACTGTTAAGCAATGAGAAGACAAAAGATTTAGTTGACACATGTACGAATGTGGGACAATCGGGGATAACAAAAAACATACAGATGCATGACATACTATGACAAACTTGAAAGCTGACATCTCTACCTGACCTGATGTCCTGCCATTCCTTCTGTGACTTGATCAAGTAATGTCAGAAGAGCACATCATACATCCCTGTAATGTATCTCTCTTCTTCTACCAGTCCTCTTGTCTCACAAATAACCTCAACGAAACTAAGCATACGTGAAAAAAATCATCTAACTGTGTGTCCTAAAACCTAGACTACACTGCCTTCCACTTTCCCAGTAAAATTAACTATTTACAACGACAGGGCCATGAAACTTTTGGACATAAGTCATAAAATATCTGCAGCTACTAGTTGAACTTGAATTTGCTGTAACAACGTTTGGGGTCTAACAATGCCGATGTTGGTCCTGTCTATGTGTTGTTTTGAGAAGCTGTGTGGCCTACCTGCAGCAGTTGTTTCCTGTCCTCCTCCATCAGCCGTATCCTCTCCTCCAGACGGCGGATGTACTGCAGAGTTTGCTCTGGAGGAAAAGAGATGCAGACATCGACAGAAGTAAAAAACCAGGTTAGCTCTTCCACTAGTCATAACAGAGAAGACAAATGCTATGTACAGTATTTACAGGTCCATTGTACTTGGAGTTTTGTGATTTCAGATTGCTTTTTCTAGCTTAGAAAAGTCTCTGTGGTGTGTTTCGCTGCAAAAAATATGAACAATATGTCCATTACTCTCTATCAGTAAGACTTAGAATGTCTAAATGGCCACTTGACATACCTCTAAAAGGTCAAGGACATGGCAAGCAACAGCTACCCAAAGGTCAAAAGTATCATTTCCATTTATGACACCCATGCAGGTGAGAATGGGATCATTAATGCTTAGAGAAATTTACGACCAACTCCTGTATAACATGATGTAAGAGAGGAAAGTTGCCCAGTGCTATTTCAAGAGGTAACAGCACAAATGGTTCCTCCCTTTTCCACGAAAGAAACTCTAGAAGGCCTGTAACAAGTAATGACCTCAAGTCTTGGAGGTAACAGGCAGACCCAGACATCTAACATCTGGTTTGTGTCCAAGGCTGGCTCCCCTGGATGTCTGTCCTCTACCTTTTAGTTCTCCACAGTAGAACATGGGAGGTATATACACTAATGAGGCTCAGCAGAGCTCTGCTGCCTGTCTTCAGTCTCCATAATTGGAGAGCATGAAAAGGTTCACTCTTACAGTAAGTTACATGATAAGATAAACTCTTTCCACCAAACTCTTTCCACCAGACCTGGTGCAACTGAAGAACGAACAAAACTACAAGGAGGACATGCATTTGCAGACCTTTTCTTTGTGTCTTTCCTGACAGAATGTACAATACTAGGGAGCTCAAAATCAAAGTTATTGTGTTGATAGACATGCAGATCGGGACACAAACACACATGAATGCTACTGAAAACATAACCTTCTTGATAAAGGTAATTACTAAGAGTAGACATAGCTGAGTAACCAAGTACTATATACACTGAGCCTTCTACTCTATATTGTAGCAAAGAACATCCTTGATTGCCGCAGCCAATCACTAGTGCAGTCTCTTCAGCTAAGCTGGACAAACATGCTGCCTTGGAATGGCAATTACCACCAAGCTGCGACAATGTATTCCTGATAAATACAGTCAGACATCTTGATGTGAGACTTAAGAAAACACTTTAAATGACTGATTGACTGGATCTACATGGTCAGAACAGCCAAGGTTATCTCTGTGTTTTGACAAGATTCAGACAAAACATTTAAAGCCTTTAGATTAAATTAGAACATCACAAAATGTGTGATCACAGACTTTCTCTAGCTCTGCCAAGAATTTTGGGATAAATGCAAATTGCTTGACACTAAATAGTTCTTCACACTTTTGGTGTGCAAAGATTCTGTTTATCTCCTTTCAAAGTGTTAAAATGTGGTCTGAAATGCCACACATTGGAGCACCCTGGATCTACATTGTACATGTACACCCACCAGTGCCGATCCAAAGAACAAGACATGGTCAGTCTACATTCAAATACCCAGTGGTGCTGCCACTGCTGGAGATGTTTTCAGAGTAAACTCTATCAGCAAGAAGTCTTCTGGGACAGCACATTGGCAAGAGAAATAAGATCTGTTCTAGGAAAGGCTGAGGATACACCATGTCTAAATCTACTAACCAGTAATACAAGACTGGGTGAACCTCGTCCTTCTGTTTGGGTATCTTGCAAGAAACATCACATTACAATTTACAGAGACATGCATTATTTACTGACTGATGCAGATTCATGTGACTGTCAGCTTTCAATCCCATTTGGTTTTGTGTTTCAATTTCCTTTTGGACACCATGAACTTCCATGATGTATACATGTGCGTCTTATATGACCTCACAGTCCATAAACCCACAGCTCAAGTAGGAAGAATCGAGTTATCCATCATTTGAGCTCGACAAAACATGCCAAAGCTGACAGCCACGTACTTAGGCAGTATGCAGCTACTGTACCAGTGCCAAAGCATTCTCTAAATAGTATATGAGGGAACATTAGATGCACACAAACAAACATGCATTCCATTCAGATATGCTATCTTCCATGTCAATGAAATTTTTGTTGAACACAGGGTAACAAAAGCCACAGGGCTTTATTGTCCAGGCTCACAAGAGTGTTGACATGGTATAAATACACAGTTGCTTTGTCTCTCCTTCACTGCTGGACATGAACTTAGGAGGCTGAACTTCATTGTTCCATTATTGTGAAAATAAAAAGGAACAGCATTCCCCTCTCACCCCAAGCTTGAATAGTTGTGTGGGGTTGTGGTTGGATGTGGATGCCTGCACAACAGATCCCACGACCCGATTATACTGGATATAAAGGAGCGCCTTTCTGGCAGTTTGTCCTGAGGCGATTTTTGTCTTCATCCCTCACCCTGTTGGAGTGATGCCAGTCACTCCCTGTCCCTTGGAGTCAGACTCCAGATGTAGTACTACTGTAGTGCTACAGGATTCTTGCCATAAACCTATCCTCATTTGGTACACACGCAGTAGTCATTCATCTCGTCATCTACCTCGCTTCACACCATCAAAAGTGGGGAGAAGATCAACTGAATACTAGTCTGTGCGAAGAGATTAACTATATAATCGTCATTACCAGGCAAAAATAGCAGCAGCTGATATTAGATAAGACGTCAGAGCTCAAAGGATCATACAGATGTCAGCCCTGGCAGCCTTACCAGATCTAAACCAAACTTTCACTTCTCAAGTTACACTTGGGGACCTATATCTCATGATATTTGCCAGTTATCTTGTCAATATTCTGACATCCTTAAATGACATTTCAATTTAAACAACCTGAAATTCCTCTGCAGAGATTTTCTCACCAGCTGTCTTATCATGTTCTTACTCTGTTAATTGTTGTTAGGATGAAGTGATTTCATGAGTTTCAGTTAATGTTTTCCTATTTTCTGGAAGCAAGAAAAAGGGTAACAGCTCAATTAGTCATTCATTATGCATTAGAACAACACCTATTATCAAGAGTAGAGTAGAGTAGAGTAGATTTCTTCGGCCACGTAGGAGCTTGGGTTCCAGTTTAGGCCGCTCATCACTTAGTGCACCGACATCTCTGGTCTCTGAGGGTGATCCAGAGCTCTGTAGTCGAACATCAAGTTTCTCCCTTTCATGTGTAGATCTAGTCTTTCCTTGAAGGCATTTACACTGGGTGATGTCACCACTTTCTCTGGTTTCAAAGAAACTGATTTTCCAGCTGTTTGGTTGTCAAGGGAAAACTAAACTAATCAGTATAAATTTTGATTAAAAAAACAGCTCCACCCACCATTCAAACCATTGATTCCTCCCTGCGCGTCATGCTCGGGTGTCAGCGAGTTGTTGCTGCTCCCGTCTCCCTGATCTCTGTTGGCCGTGCTGCCGTTCCCGTTCAACTCTCGCACGCTGCACTGTGAACAGATGGAGGACCGGGATCCCTCCCTCTCCCGGTCCAGGTACAGACACAGTTCCTTCAGTTCCATATTGTCGTGGATCAGTTCATCCTGCTTGGTCTCCAGCTCTTTCAGTTTTGTCTGATACGCGGCAACCTCCTGCCGCATCACCGTCGCCGTGTACCTGCCGAACCGCTGCCACTCCCGGGCCAGTTTACGTCCCTTCTGGCGGTCGTCGTCCAGGAAACAACAGAGATCTCGCAGCTCCTGGTTGTCGTCCTGTAGCCGCTGGTTCACCTCCTTCAGCCCGCGGATCTCCAGGAGATGGACCTGTGATAGCGGAGGTGTAAAGTGTTATTTGGGTCAATTCACATCTAACGCAATAGATGATAAAGCATAAGTGGAGACACTGCTAATCATATTTACAATCCAGGATTTTACCATTGTATATGGAAGGCATTGAAAGATGCTGATGTAGCACTATGAACAACATTTTGAGTATTGACAGATTTTAGTCAACTCCCATCAGCTTTCACAATAGCCTGATGATGATCAACTCTCTTGAGCCCTACCATGTATAAATGTTTATCTTCTATGTATAATGGATGGCACCCTGGGGTTGATGTGCCAAGAACCTTTTGTTTGGTGTTATTTGAATACGGATTATCCGTGATGGTGTGCTTTCTGTCTTTTCTTTTTATGTACTGAACGTGTTACAATTGACCCCGATGTTGTATACCCCCTGCGGAACTCCATACAACTCGATGAGCAGGCAGGATTTGCAATTGAATGTCTGTTGGCGCCTGTGAGTGCAGACAAAGTGCAGCAGTACACACTGACCTGCATCCGTTTGTTGACTTCCCTCATGAGGTTCCCGTGCTCGGACATCAACTTCACCTTCTCCTCCTCGGTGGCTCGGAGCCGGCGGATGACATCCTCCGGCCCGGCCCTCCGCAGCTCGTCGTCGGTCATCTCGTTAGTCGGCCGGACGATCACGCTGTTCCTCCCGGAGATGTTCCCCTTCCCCGCCATGATATAATTTTCTTGTCAGACACAAACCTTGATCAGTTCCAACCCTAATCAAGACCAGGCGACACGAGCTTGAAGACGTCTGTCGTCTGCAGGTCTTGTAGACAGGAAATGTGAGTAAGGGTCTACAGCAAAATTCCGACTTTGATGATTAAGGGTTGGATACCACCTTCAGCAGCCGATCTGTGCCAGGTGCGATCCAGACACAACCAGCGGTACGATTCGGGCCTTCTCCCGTCTGTTGTTCTTCCTCACGTTGACTTGTATATCGTCACTTGCGTCCTCATACGCTTGGTTACATGTGCGGGCGTGGAAATGATCAATACCACGCAATATAAACAGAGGAAAAGACTTTGAAATGTAACAGCCGAGCGTTGTTTGCTCGCTACTATCGGCTGTCCCCTCACCAAGATGGCCGGCCGGAAAGCTGCTGACCTCTGACATTACTCTGGCTGTTCCAAGTAGAGGCTAAACCCATCGGGAATATTTTTTTATACATACGTATGTGGAGCTGCAATTTAAGCAACAAGAAAGAGATCCACTTTAAGAACTTGTACATATTACAATCATTATCTGAATGTTTTACTAAATGTGATGAAACATCTTAGGTGTTGCAAAATCTAGTAGCAGAGAATGGCGAATGACGACAAACAGTTGCAAATAGATCAGCCTTGCCGTTCCCAACTTCAGTCAACCAATCAGCATGCGTTTTACGATAGCGTATGACCATCTGTTTGGCGCGTAATAAAACACGGAAGTTAGTGGACGTGAGTGATTGTACGCCCCCTAAACAGGGACAAATACAGAGCAAGTGCGGCGGAGAAAGTCAACGGAAAGTGCCTTAATGTAAGTACACCATAAATGTTGAAGGGGCAAATTAATCCTCTGTTAGCATACATGTATTCGGTGACAAAATACCAAATCATTGTAATGTCCTCGGACATAGTGTTCTATCCTCACGCACGGGCCGTGGGGTTTCAGTAACCAGAAAATGGCAACCCATCTTAGACTATTAGAGAATGCTACCTTTCTACATAGCTGGATAGTCAACGAAGTTCTCATGTACAAAGATACTAGTAAGTAGTGTGGGGTGTGCATCAACATTTTTACCTTACATGTTTCAGTTCCAGTTTATTTTTCATAAATAGCCTGTAAATAAAAAAAATTGGTTGTTTGCTTGTTTGTTTGTTTCTACTTGACATAGGAATGGCTGCCAAAATAGTTTGGATCATACATGTAACGTTATATTGATATATTCAATCATAGGTCAGAGGCCCCTGATGTGTAAAATGTAACATTAATTAAGAGGAAGAGAAACTACATGGAGAGGTCTCCAGATGATAGCCTGAAAGTTGTGGAGGATGGGAAGGTCCTGCCCTGCCAGCAGAGTCCCCGCTGTGGCTGTATTGTTACTGACTGGAGTGAGGTCTGGCTGGGCTGTTACAATGTGCAGGGAACCACCATTGCCATCTATAACTTTGCCAAACAGGATTGGGACGAAGAGAACGTGATCAAGAAAGAAGATGCATATGTGGAGACCATGGTGTACTGTAATGGCTGTGTTGTGATCAGCTTTAGAGGACAGACATGTGACACGGTGAATGTGTTTGATGCGGCGACACACCGGCAACTGGAGGAGTACACCATGCCAAGTCTGGTACAGAACATAGCCTGCTCATCCTCTCACCTGTATTTTGGTCATGCCAGTGGGACCATCAAGTGCTGTCTACACACAGAACTGCTACACAGACCTGCTGTCCATTGGACCTCATGTAAAAATGGCCCCTTACCAGTCAAGGCGATGGTGTGTGTAAGAGATGAGCTGTGGGTGGCAGCAGGTCATAAGATCCTGGTGTACACGACCACTGAGTGGACATGTAAAAAGGAGTTCCTTGCAGATACAGAGGTTGGCTTTCACTATCTCTCATGCCTGGTTGGGAAATGCTGTGTGATCTGAAATGCTGTTCTATCTTTTGTCATCTGTCAATTGAAATAAAACTAGTTACATGCAGTAGTAACTACCAGGTAACTTCAGCCTCTCACTTTTGCCTTGAACTTTGAGCAAACGTGTCTATAGTGTCAACATTAACATTACCTCTGTGTTAGAGTTACAATGTTGATCATCCTATCTAAGTGAATAATTGTTCTCTGCATTAAAAAAAACAGATGGTAGAAGTTCCATATGTCCGTTTGATGTCATTTCTAAAGTTTGGGATTGTTTCTTGACTGTGTAAGTCGTCTTCTTCCTACAGAATGAGCTAAACGAGGTGTTTCTGATGGACAGCTGTGATGAGGAGGACAGGGTCTGGACTGTTTGCACTATGAGTGGTGGCATTGTCACAGGTAACATCCAGAACAAGTTATAAAGTATACTAGTCATTAATATAATGACTGGTTAGGTAGTTAGGTTATCAGTAGTCGAAGTGCCTAAATTGATATGCTAAAAAAAGGCATTAAAGTATTCAGGTTTACATAACTTTTGTGGGTACAATAAAACCTAAAGGTAACAACTACCAATCTCTAATTCCCACGGTTCCTGTAGGATGGAAAGGTGTGTCCATAACTGCAGACAAAGACAGTAGGTACGACTGTGGTGCACAGGTGAGAAGATTGTCGGACAGTTGCTCCTCTTCACCCATCGACAAGATGCAGGATGAGACCATCACCTGTTTGACATCCTCACGTGGCCAGGTCTGGGTTGGCACAGGTATGAAAGGCACCACAGTAGAACCTTTCAGCTTCATGTCATGTGGATGGAGTGTAAGGTATGATCAACAGTGCCATCTAGCAGATCAAACAAGTATTGACAATCACTATTTCAACAGAACCATCATGATTTTGCTTGATTAACCTGGAATTTTTTTTTTGTTAGCTGGACAGCTGTAAGTGCCTTTTAGTAACCCTGGTCAGCTGACAAGGGTAGATATTATTAGTTATCCCTTGAATGGCAACAGTCACGACCTCCAGACAGGCTTCTGCCATGGGGCTTTGGAGTTTGCATTTTGTGGCTGATTTAAGATGGCATGAATTCTAATCAGCACTAGCTTGGCATTTCAATGATAGATACAGCCTTCCCTAGAGAGAGAAACAGAAAATCTTATATCGTTACCTATGACAATTACCTATGATAAATAGTAGGCCCCCCAAACAGCCCAACTTCATAGTGGAGGCTTAATTGTCTGGAGGCTAAGATGCCAGAGGCATAGGTTGGGACCCAGTGGAATCCCCAAGAACAATAAAGAGTAGGCAATACATGTTTACAGATACTACATAATACATATATACCAGCCTGACAGTCAACAGCAATGCTGAAGTATTGTGGATGTGTCTGTTCTGTGCAGGCATTGGTGTTGTCTTGGTGTGGAACACTGCCAGTCACCAGCTGTGTGGGTTATTCAGTCTGTTTGAGAACTATGTTCGCTGCCTCTTGTCATTCAACAGCGTACAGAATTCAGGTGGGTACAGCATGTTGCGCTGACGCATACAGTCCCAAATTAATTGGTCTTGCATTGTTCAGCTTTGCGTCATCAGTAAGGTATTTGGCAATAGATTAAGAAAATGCCACCTTTCAAATGTACAGTAGCATTTGAAGTTCCAAATGGCAATAAGACATATGATTTTTCCACAATTATTGGTATGAGTATGATTTACAGATGTTAAGCCACATCTTCTATATGCATTTGTTCTTATGCATGTCTTTTAAATTTTTTTGTAGAAAGCTACACAATGTAGGCACTTCATTGTTGTGTAAACTCCTCAGCCAATACACTGAAAACACTCTTATCAAGTGTACACTACCTTCTTGATATTCATCATTTCACTCTTCGTCTTGCCCGCGCTCATATATTTCCCTCAATTTTCATTTGTTTATTTGCGTTTCTTACTGTTTTTCCAGCATCTTTTAATGACCTGACTCCACATCCCCAGTCCATCCTGGTGGTGGGTGCTGGGAAGAAGAAGGGACCAACCAGTGGTGGCCAAACTCTACAGACTGGAGCAGGAGGCAGCACGTCACCTTCAGTTATAGCAGTTTGGAAAGCTTGAAGCACTTTTCACTTCTTGGCCTATTGAACTGCAGAAGACTTGGCACTGTTTCCTAATGAAGACCAATCTTGAACATTTACCATGAGAAAGAAAAATTTGGTATGCTATTAAGTACACCTGGTGGCAACTGGCTGACAAATGGGTGAAATGTCTAGCTTAAAATGAACTCCTACCACCATATGCTTGGTATTCATGTACTTGTGGCACTGGGTTAGCACCACTGGGTTTGCTTGGCCTTCAATAAGATTTGAAGAAGCACTCAATCAAATGAGACAGTGAACTGAGAGTTGATTTATTGGAAGTTGTATATAAGGCACAAGGCTGGACATGTTTGGATTCCTTTCCATCCTGATATTAACATTATTAGTTGTGCTCTGATGAATAAATGACCTCTACCCCTCCAGTGCCAAGCCCATCGTCTACTCAGACGGAAGGAGCCTCACTATAGATTGTTGGAAATTTGTTGCTCTGGCTCTACCTGACAGGCTGTACTGCTTTTGTTCAAAAGATTGTAATACATTGTATATGGTAATACATGTACATGATTATAAGCATGTATATGTATGACATAAATATGAATGATATATTGAAAATTTTCACGGGGATGAAATAATAAAAGTTCTCATAAATAATGGAGACAAAGAGCCATTTACACCTGATGTTTTAATACTCCTTGTAATATGTTGTACATGAAAGTATTGTACATGATGCTTATGTACATATGGGAAATGATATGGAAATTCTATGTAGAGGCACTGCCTGCAGAAAATAGGCCTATGAACAAAATAATAAAGAGGATTAAGAAAAATAAACAATACCTGTATCTACTGTTGGAGAACAGGAGAACAGCAGCAAGATATGGAATGCAGGTGTGTGATTCATAAGCCTTTAATTGCACTTCTGTCTTTATTTGTGGGAACTGTATCAGGAACTTGTGGTAATGAAGAAGTGGGCTACTGTTTAACAACTTTTACTTGCCGTGTGAATAAGGCAACAACCCTCACCAATCCACCCAGCCTTAGATGTTAAGTTTGCCAGTGCCCTTCAGGCCTTGCTGGCATTTAGAGCAGGTGCTCATATTACAAGCTAATGGGGAATTGATCAAAAAGTATCCTATGTGTTTTTGAAAATTACAAAATGCTTCTTTTTAATAGCCAGTCCACAATAAATTTCATCACTGAGAGAGGGAGAACAGAAACTTTGCTGAAAAAAATATGAAGACGGCAGAAACTAGAAATACTCATCTTTACAAGCACACTGGTGTGGAGTTATTGCAAGGTGTTGCTAGTCTCAGTTTTTTCAACAGACAGAGCATATGGCTTACTAGTACATAACATGGCCAACTAACACCATGTTAGCACTTCTTCAAATGTGAAATGTAATTCAAATTGACATATAAAAACACTACTGAATATGTCACTACTGTCATGTTTTTACAACTTTTTACAGTAAGATGATTCTTGATATATTTTCAAATTAACAAAATTACATATACAAGCAAGTTAACGGATAACTCTACAAAGAACCACCGACATCACAACATGTATGATCAAAAACATCTTGTGGTTAATTAAGTAGATGCCATATCATTACTTCCATTCTGGATTTAATACTGACAGTAATCTACAATTTCCCTTGGGTAAATCTTTGAACCTAGAATATCATAATGAGTTTGCAGTGTATAATGGCCCGTTGCATTTTCCAGAGCTATAATTAAGATACAGTATATATTAACATATTAAAGGCTATCAGCAAATAGTATATTTTTCATGTAACAGTAACACATGGAATTCATATTTATTTGAATGTTATTACTTCCATAAAACTGACAGTTAATGTAACGTCCAGGTAATACAGGGTTATTCAATGCCAGTAAATGATTTCCACACTGTCAGCAGAGAACCTTATATCAAAGAGGGAGGAAAGTGAGCCAGCAAAGGAGCCAGCTCCCTATGCTTCAGCTATACACAATCTGTGACAGCCACAGCCAGCAATGTGAAAGTATCAGGTGGGTTATCATTGAGAGCCAGCAGTAGTACCAACAAATCCCCAGGTAACTGAAATATTTCATATTTATTCCCACTTCCTGACAGTTTCCCCCTCCCTGCAACAGCAGGTACTAAAGGAGATAGATACATGTAGTATTGCTAGTTCAAGATTCCGACAATTATACAAACTTGGTTACACCGTTTTGTCTATAGCAGAGCGACCTGTAGAAAAAGCTGTTAAAATGTCCAATAGATGTAAAACTCCTGCTGAACTGTCCACCAGCAAGTTGTATTTATTCACTGTACATCCAGCCCCCTGTAACAACCATGTCCTGTTCATTGTGTACATGAGGCCGGCAGTCTTTGCCTCAGGTTGTGGTACAATCCCTGTGAAAACAGTCCTCCTCGCAAAGCTAGAACTCCTCGGCCAGATTTTGTTCCTCGCACTCTGCCAGAGTGTTGAACACAGCGATCATGTTGTCCAGGCCGCACAGGTAGCCATCTTCCCTGTTCCCCTCCTTCCACGCCAGCCTGTGGTCCAGTTTCTGTCCCTCAGGCATCGACATGGTCTTCCCAAAGTCTATCAGAGACACCCCCACATGGCTACCTTCTTTGTCGTGGACAAACAACAGTGAGCTGCCAATTACCTGAAAAAAGCAAATCATTCTTTAGTTTATCAAACTGTAAAACAATTTTTTCAAAACATTTGCCATTCAAAATTTGGCCCAACCAGTAGGTAAATGGGTAACCTTGACTGGCCCCAAAATTGACTGAAGTAAAAATAACCCATGTTTTTCACCTTCCAAAAGTCAAAGGTTGATTTTCATGCCTGTTATGGTTCAGCCCTGGAGAGCTGCAGTATTGATTTTATATTTTATTAGTGTAGTGGTGGACTTTGTGACTCTCCCCAGTTTTGCTGCATTCTTTATTTATTGCATTTTCATCACTTCTCTCCATACTCGTCCCAGCTTTTCATTTACCACATGAATGAAGATCTCTCAACAGCTCTCTTTCTTTCTTGCTATGATCTTGTAGTTCTCAGCAAACACTACCACATAGCTCTCACACATATTACCTGTTAGTGTTACAGCCCTGGGCATTACACAAGGCCACGACCCGTATCAGCCCAAAACATCAATAAAAGGTTGTGAATGTAGTTGTGTCAATATCAGCCTGTCAGCTTCAATTTATCTCTTGACAAAAGTGCAGTATCAAAGTCTCTGAATCTGATACAGGGTAACTGTAAAAACAATCAAACATTCACCTCATATATGCTTTATCTATGCTTGATATCACCACAAAAAAGGAAACTGTAGAAAAATTTTACCTCATGTGATTGGAAGAATGTAGAATTCTCCAGTGTTGCTCTCAGTGCCATCAACTTCTGGACATACTTTTTCTGTTAAGTACAAACATAGAGATAAACACATTAGAATGCAGACAATTCTTCCAACTTTGCACAACAAATCTACTTACTGCAATTTTCACATACACAAGAATAATCAGAATCCAGGTAAACTTTCCCACAGAATTTGTGCTCTCGCAAATCAAATATAAACTGAAATACAGAGGACAGGTAGATCTCATTGATTTTTTTTCCATTTAACGAACTACCAAAAGATGCAATAGGATTTGTTGTATGCACAAATTATCCTCCAAACAAAGGATACCTGTGTATATAATACACACAGACTTTATTCTCCTTTATGACAATATCCTTTAATTCCTGGTCAATATGTTTATGTGTTTATTTTTTCACTTTTACTTTGTTTTCAGATGACCTGTAGATGTCAGATCTGTATTGACTTATGGGGAGGTGTTGCTTGAGTGAAGTTACTCTCCATGATGTAAAATGGGGCAGAATGAAGCAGATGGGGGTCAAACAGTAAGTTTCTGATAGGTCCCAAAGACTTTTGGGGACTTTCAAAAACTGTTACTATTTTGTTCTCAAATATCTGCTTGGAAATCAGAATTTCTTCCATCATTTGCCAAATGCCTTACATCTACAGAATTCTCTGACTGTTCTAATGTCAGATGATTTACACCAGATTTACATTGCACATGGAACCATGTCTGATTTCAACATTAACCAGCAGGTTCATTAAAGTTACCTGTAATGACTGGTTACCATCAGTGAAGAACTTGAAGGCCTCTGCCACTTGCTCTTTTGTTTTGGTCATCTTGTAATCTCTGCTGGACTGACCATCTGATTTCTGTGAACGATGAAATGACAATAACATTCATGAGAGGCGGTTGTATAACAATACATGATACAGTGCTCTTTATCACAGGTGACCCAATGTGTACTGAGCCAGTTGTGAGTATGGAAATAATAGTACACTGTATACACTGAATACAAATCTAGATTCTAGAATGACAACAAATGCCTCTCTTCCTCTCTATTTGGTTGAACTTGAAACAAGGTAGTGCTTTTTCAATAGCTGATAGTGCATTTCAGCTTTGCTATGGCTTATCTATAGTCAAGCCTCTCCTATATGAGACAGAGTAAGACATTGTGCACACACACACACAGCTGACCTTGATGCCTTCTATCCTGAAGCCCAGTGTAGATGTGGAGCTGATGCTCTCTCTCCACACCATGTAGCGAGGCTTGGTCACAGCCTTGGCAGCGTTCTCCTCCTTGGTCGGTTCTGTGGGGTCAATCTCGATCATCTTCTGGTACATGTCTTTTCTCAGCTTGGGGTTGCTTCTGGCCTTGACTAGTTCATCCTCCAGGTAAGTCCTGATGGGAACAAGAACATATGTAAGTGACTGCTGAGATGGATTAACAGGATATTGACCAAATGCAGTGCCCTCTTGTCTTCTCACTCAAATCATATGTTAGTGTGAAGAATATTTTACAGCCATAAATAGTTTCATCAGGTTGGTAAATCAGTATATACTGGGTTCTTATCAACAGCCAAAATGTTATCTGCCGACCTTTTTGTAACCTTTCAGCTACCTTCCTCAGGGCTTTAAGATTCTCATAACATGTATCACAGTATATACTAGGTTCTTATCAACACAACCAAAAGGACTTTATCTGCAGATGTTTTGGCAGCCCTTTGGCTACCTTCCTTACTACAGTAGTCCTTGCTGCTTTGTGACAGGACAGCAGCAAGGACTCGATTACAAACTATGTCTTGTAAAAGCCCTCTGGTTGTCTTGCGAAGAGTAAGATCCTGCAATATAAATAGGTGTATGGATTCAGTCAAGTCCATTATTACTTTCAGGGCTAGGATTGAGGTCATATAGCTAGATACAGTACAGTACAGTAGTAGGCATACCTGACTCCCATCTTACAGTCCATGACAGCAGGGGTGTCAAAGTCTCCCAGAAGATCCTCCATCTCCATGAATTCTGAACAAACGAATCAAGGAATCCACGGCAAGATCAATGTGATAGGATATGATGGTCTTGTGCTGGACTGTAAATCTTGTAAGACTCTCATGCTTAAACATGTAAAAGCTTATCAAGAAATATGTGTATGTGGTATATAAAAACAACCTCACAAAAAAGGTATTGCCAGAAAATGTCAAGACTTGGGTAACAGCAATCTCTTTTTTTTAAATTCAAGGATCTTTTGAAACAACATTCCCAAACATTGAAACATTCAAAGACATTTTATTTTTCCCTGTATGTCCTTGGTCACACATGCCATAGCAGCTACACATGTGGCCATATAACAAGGTCAATTCAACATCTGCCATGTGTATATCAAAGAGCTTTCTCAGTCATCAAAGCAACCATCTTTATGCTACTCTGAAATGTCCAGATGACATGATCCTTTTGTGAATACAATTGATTCCAGCAATTCCAGCAAGTACATCGTATAAGCTATAACGTGAACACTGAAATTGATGAAGCAGTTGGAAAGGATACTCTCTCCATCCCTCTCCACGTCTCCCTTGTATTCTGGGACGTAGGATCGCAGCAGGTCTCCCATCAGCTTCTTCAGACACTTGGCCTCTCGATTGCAGTGTTTCTTCAATATGGTACCCCCCTCCCCAGCCTTGAAGTTGCCTGTAAGAAACATCATGATTATCAGTATCAGTTGAGTCTGTCAACAAGTTGCACCAACCATTTTGACGTGGTTGTGCAGCACAACTGGCAACCGTTACTTTGAGTCCCGCAGTCATTCAAGTACACATAGGAGAGAAATATCATAGACACATGTATGTACAGAAACACACACACACCATGCCAGCATAATGACTCCACATAATGTTACATGACGTTCAGAAGTCTTATAAATGGTAGCAGCGGCAATGTCACTCTGCAGTTGAATGGAGTATTTCTTTTCCACAAGACTGGCACAAGATCTTGCTCAGCCATTCTTATCAGGAAAAACCTGGTTGACCTGACCTGTCCATGCCCCATATCTCACCTGCATGTCCTGCCAGCTGCACCCAGGGGTACTTCTTCTTGAAGCACTGAAGGAAGGGTGACCAGTGGACCATGTTGCGAATCTTTCTCCATTGTTGTAGAGACTGTAGGGAACAGAAAAATTTCAAGTACGTCTGATCAAAATGAAAGAATTACACATACATGTACAAGCAGATTTAACATATTTGTTTCACGTATATACCTGTATTATGTGAAACATGTAAACATACCCACATTCAACTGGGCTGTTTCCCGCATATAGCAGGAGGTATTTGGATCCATCTTTTGCAGATATTCTGATGAGAACCTGTTGATACTAAAATATGAGCAATTCTTGTAAAATAGATATCTGATCAAATGCCTTGAATTCAGCTCAATTTTCTTCTTTTAGCAGTTTGACAGATGGAAAATTTGAGTCCTGCACCACCCCTTCTATCAAGACATCTCCAAACACCTCCACACAAAGCCAAGAGAGAACCTAGTTGCTAAGCAAAATTAAACACAATACTGGAAAATCTAACATACACAAGCAACACCAGAAATGGTAAGAATCTCTACCTGCTTGTCCTGATATCTACACTGCAAAGCAGTGAACATCTTTTGAACCATTGGGAGCATTCTGTGCCTCCACAGCTTGTCTTGAAATCTTCTGGCTACACTAACAGGATCTGAGGCAGTGGTCACCATCACAGCGCCATGGATCAGAGGAACTGCCTGTACCACTGATGTCACAGCAGCCAAGGAAGTACGTAACCAAAGCCATAGAAACCCAGCAGGAAATCCTTAGAGCTGGGAGAACGTGACCAAGGGGAGGTGACTTGCGTGCATGACCTTCCAACTAACCTAGGCCATTAGTCATCACTGCACATGCAGCCGGTACAATGTACACACAGGGGATTAACACTGTGTTGAAAGTTGACAAGTGAGGGGGCATATCACTGGGAATTTGGGTGTATAAAACCTGGAATAAATTCAAGTGGTCTGACATCCCTCTACAACATGTGAGGTGTTCCCTTCCAAGTCACATTCCTACACGTCCACTGACCCTGTGTACTTCCTTGGTTCTATATTTAGCAAGCTCCCCTGGATGGGGTGAATCATAGACCCTACTATATCTTAGCCCACATTACTAGTACATGTATCATACACTTGACAAGTTGTGTACAGCTAAATATATAACAATCCCACAACAGCCTGGTACAGGTAGTAGAGGAAGCCCTTCCTTGCAGACAGGAACTGGGTAGCTGTTCCCAGTTCTCAAACAGGGAAATGGCAACTACTGCAGGAGTAAGCAATTAGCAAGAAACAAACACATGTGCACAGTTCTAACGTGATTCAAGAAACATAATACTGATGGGATTGGAGGCAAAAATACATTAATTTACGAAGAACAGAACACATTAAACCTTGCATAAATAATAACTAAAAAAGTCCAGAGATGTACACATGTACGAACCATCTTGTGCCTTCCAATAGTTCAACACCGCATCCAAACAATCTGCCTTGGATCAATTTTCATCAGGTCATGAGCAACATGCCAATAAAATGGTGTACCAACAAAAATCTATTTCTAATTTCATACAATCTGACGAATTTGATTTTTTTACCATTATATTCGGATGTGAAAATGTGTGACGCTTTGTGATATCATAGAATGTGGTTCCTGCACTTCCTTACTGACCTTAGCTAACACTTACACTAACAGGTATGCTTCAATGTTGAAGTAGTAATCTCAATAGTCACTGAAGCTATAGATTTACATGCAGGATCCAGGGAGAGAATGCGCCAGCTTGGCAAGCACACCGGTCTTGTCGAGATAGTCATCGAGCACTGATTTACACACAACTCACTGAGGCAAGGTCCTTTACACCTCCTTTTAGTTTCTATCATCACATACAGACCACATAAACACTATTTCTGACTACACTATCAGTCTGGGTCGTCGGAGATCATGGATTGCGGCTTATTTTCTGGCCATTTACGTCATAGCGGTTTAGATAACTGGCAAAGACAGTGCTTCAAAACATCCTGGAGGCCTGAGTCTGGGGGGGCTTTTATCAACACTAACTTGGCATTAGCCTATTTTTAGTACATTATCTATTAAACTGTGTTCCAAACAACAGATACTAAAAACCCTGACGTAGGTGTGATCGTTACATCACCATAACAGCCTTGTCACGGAAACTGGGACTGACTTACCTGTCAAACGGTATATCGCCACAAGCCAAGGACGAACAAAACATTTGCACCTTTTCTAAGATCTGAAGACTACAAGAGTACAAGAAATCTGCTCTACTTTTAATCAATGATATCCATGTCTCTATGTCTATTGCTAATGTTTGCTTCTCCGTATAAGTTCATTCTAAATACCTGTAAGCTTTCTGCTACAGATACAATACCTTTGTCACAACTAACATGCTTGTTATTGACCTACAAGATGACAGCTTGCCTGTGTCAAAGTAAAGACACGTTTACGAAAAATACCAATGTTCTAAGTTAAGCCAAGGCTCTTAAATTTCAGCACGTAAAGTACCGTGTACAAAACAGTCCAAATCCTCCATCCTAAAGGATTCAGAGTCCTTGAACTTCAGAAGTTCAAGTGTACCAGCATATAACAATTGTTATGATGGTACCAAATATACCGTGTTTTTGTCATGTAACTTTGAATGCAAAATGAAAATGAAATGCGTTTTATGTGCATTCTGTGTCTCTGATGTCAGAGTTGTGTTACGTTTTCAATATATGGTATTTTTACCCCATGTGTTTTCAAATCCAAAATAGTAGAATTTTTACATTTCAAACATCTAATACTTGCATAAACACTTATAATAAAAAAAGTGTAAATACTCCAACACAGACTACCAAAGTACACAGATTAAACTTAGCTTTACTTCAGATTCAATAATGAATTCTAGTCAAAGATCGGTCCAGATATTTTCTTGCCTCCTGCAGCATTTTAATCCCTGCCACCCTTCTTGCTTTCCTTTAGTTGTTTTGATACCTCTCCTTGCCCTTCAAAAAATTCCAGTCTGTCCAAACTGCCCTGACGAAATGTGGTCTATATTGTTGTATGTCAAACACCGTGCTGAAGTGGTTAAGGCCACACAAACATTGTTAGCACTTACATGAAAAGTTACCAAACTTCAAACAGACAGTCCATGCTGAAACCAGGTTGGGGTTTGAATCCACACGCATGTGGTATCAGTAATCGTAGTACACTAAATGACTATGAGTTTCTCTAATGGTTTGTAAAGGCTCTGTATAAGAAAGTTGTGGAAAAGGACTTGGTAAATAAACAACTTAACCCATGAACAAACACTAGTAGATTTATTAGTGAGCCACTAGTCCAAAAACCTTATAGGTATAGAAACTTTTATACTGTTACAATGTAGTTTTGTCTAGTACATACATATACATTAGAATTAACATTTTGTTTGCAGATTACAGGTTGCAAATGGACATTTCAAGCCTGCATAGATCTATATTCTTCAAATAACTAATAATACTAAGATCATGATTACAATCATACATGATGCACAACTTCTCAAATATAACAAAGCCTAGTTTTAGACAGGTTATAGCCACTTTTCGCTGCTGTTGTTATTCACAATTGAGGACTACTTTTCAGGAAATTCTGTGGAGGAGGTGGAAACTTTGTTACTTTGTTTTTAATAATACAGAATGTTGCTGTGCCATGGTCCTATTCATTGAACACCTGGCCCAGGTGGCAATAAATGCAGTGTCATGGATTGGATGGAACAAAAGATAAAGAGTATCATTGAGTCCTTTGTTCTGGCAAGGGAAAGACTTACATCTTTATAACATTTGAAACCTACTGAAAATTAAGGCCAGTAACTTCTCAATGAGGAGGTTATACCTTCAACTGGCAATTATCCCTTCATCATCATCATCCCTTACTGGACAGACTAATTGTCATGCATGTTATTTGTGACAAAGTGCAGATGTTGATGTATTCTAAAACCAGGTTTAGCATGTTGTTCATGTGGTTTGTACTGTAATCTGAAAGTCCCTACCAGCTTCTAAAGCTTAATTCAGGCTCCTGTTGGCCAGTTTTGGTGGCACAGAGATGACCTTGAGGGAAACGTGGAGAAGGGAAGGGTCCAGGAACAAAGCAGACTGAGCCTCTCTCTGACGTCACCAGCGCGAAGGTCGGACCATAACAAACAGCCTGCAGTCCCAGAATAAACATCAGCTGACACCAACTTCACAACTTCTGCTGTTTGTTTGATACAGTAGAAAATGACAGCCAGTTACTGCTAGTCACCACCACAGGGTAGCACACACACCTCTACTGACACTCGCAAAACAAAGGTACACCAATCACTACATCAATCATCCACATGGTGTACACATGATCAACTGTAGCATGCAGCTAGGCTTTACTACAAAACGTTCTGGATTGATCGAACAGAAGTATTACTAAAGCAAGAAGCTGTAAATAACTAGCGACACCCATGACACCTGAGGCATGTGCACCTAATACTGGCAATGCACCAAGCATAAAGTCTGAGTATGTAAGAGGCCCTCCTGTCTGCTGTCTAAATGTCAAGGGTATACTCGCAGGGACAAGAATGTAATCTACCCCTTTGGGTTCAAGTATCATAGAAAGGTAGCTGGGCAAATAGATTCTGGGACTCAGACATGGGTTTTGTTAAGGCTAGGTAAAGGCAGCTAAGCCTAAAGTTGGAGGTTTTCAGCTCCTTTTGTATAAAGTATCATTACAAGTACTGACTGGAGCTTACAGTTTGAAAGTGACAGCTATTTTTGGCAGGATAATTGGCCCTACCTTTCTACGGGCAGTAGTTTGTTCACTTGAAGAAAGGGGATGGACATTTTTGTAGAGAAAAGGTTCAAAACTACCGTACTGTAAAAATAGTACCTCACAAGTTAAAATAGAACCTGCAACGTACCAAAAGCTTGGTAATAGGTTACCGTAGTTCATATATGACAAATACACACACGTATGAAGTATGCAATCTTAGACACTGCAACTTCAACTGGCACACGCTACTTGAAGATAACCGAGGACAATAAAATTTCAGTAAGTAATACTGGTAAATGATTCTTGCTACGTGCACCATTATATATCACCAATGCATGCCAGATCAAAGGGTCAACTAGCCTCTCCTGCATTTCAGGTACCCAGCTGTCTCACAGTCAACCAAGCGTTTCCGTTTTCAGGTTTTCAGGCAATCAATTCTGTAGCACCATGAAAACAGCTTCGAGAGCTGCTTGACATTTGCTTCAATAACCTGACACTGTTTGTATGTATGTTACACTGGAAACTCTATTTCTGGCATGGCTGAAAATCTGATTTCCTGTTCTGAAAATAGAATAGAAATTTGATTGATCAAATCACAAACTTGTTCAACTGTTAGCCTATTTGATGTCTTCCTAGAATCCTTCATGTTGGCCTGGGCGCTGTATTTATCATAAATTCATACTTAAATTTAGTTAAAATTTTGTAGAAAGATGAAAATCAACAGTTTGCAGTTGAATCAACCCTGGTAGCATATTATACTTGTACAATGTATATGTATTTATTGGCAATGATACATGTCATTACAAGGTCAGTACAGGCAGCCTTGGTTGGTACATGTAATTTCTGACCCAAAAAAGGTACAGACGTAATACAGAACTAATAGTAAGTTAGAATCCTGCAATAAAAGGAGTAAATTATTGCATTTGACAGACTGCATGTTTTTGGTTTGATAAGTATGCAGTGAGATCTCACTAGGAAAACAGTAAACATATTCCATGATTTACAGAATCTGGAGCAGAGCTGCAGGCATGATGTCTCTATCCTAGATAGTTGCCCGACCAGCTGACCTGTGTCAGCCTGTAGATGCTAGAGGTCAGCTGTGTGGGACGAACATTAAACATGTGCAGGAATACTTCCACCTTCTAAACTCTCCCAGGGAATGATGACTCCTCAAGAATTCTGGAGCTGGAATGCCACAGGTTTACTCCAGGGGATTAAATGTCAAAATCTTAAACAGAACAGGTGGCATTAAGTTTTCTGTTTCTTCATATAGCTTTACATTATATATAATTATCCAATACATAATTATGTAAATCAAAGTCAGATGATTGCTCAGCTAATCATACATCCTCACCTGTTCCGGGCACATCTGCGTCCTCTCACAGATGAATGCAGGTATTAGAGTAGTTTATGATTTCCAGTTTTGCAAAACCGCCAAGGAACCTAGCTTAGCAAAATAAAACCCAAAGGGAACCTTATGTTGACACAGTTGAAACATACCTCCTGTTCAGGGTAACCCAAACCAGGCTGGACCATGAGACCAGAGCAGTAAGCAAGTTTCCCTAGTAACCTTAAGTTCATCCATTGGAGAACAAACAGGCTTAAGTATACAAATATTCTAATTTTGTTCTTAAAGCCCCACAGGTTAGAGAATTGACGTCAATAGGTTCCATATTACTAGGCAACGATTACCCTCAATTACCTCTCTCTGCCTCACGTCTCGTAAATAACAAATTTAACAACGAGCTAAACATTACATGAGGAAAACTTTATTCCTCAACTTCTTGCAATGATATGGCAATTCTCTTTGTTAGCACCACTGCTGCTATTGCCCTCCTGAAATGTGGAAATGTAAACAAGCAATTTTTGGTACAAGATACAGGTATAAATAAGGTCCAAAGTTGTCATGTTGCAGGTACTAGTATCTCTAATGCTTGTACTCATTTAAATGTTTGAAAAGTCGAATGACCCCAGGGTAATAATGCCTGAAGGAAAATGCCTCCTTTCTTCCTTGTCATTGGTAGCCTGTAGGCATTTGTTAACTTAGAAAACATATTCAATTGCAGTTCACTCCAATATATTATAAGTTGAAGGAACAAAAATCAACTTTTTTATCACAGCCTAGCTGGGGAAAGGTCTCTACATTTACCGACTGAAATTTGTCTGGACCAATAATAATAAGAATGTGCTCTGTAAATCATGCACATGTACATTGTATCAATTATGCACAACAACATGAAGCTAAATATAGTTAGCAAAATGAATATTGAAATATTCATCTTTGTAACAGTGACTCCTGTAAAATATCAAGGAAATTTCTCTTTTCATATATTCAGTAGACATTCATAACATTGTGGTTCCCCACGGGTTGAAAATTGCATGTGTTAAGACAGTGCCCATATAATTCTTAAAAAAAGGTACATGTAGACTGTACAAAGCAGACACAAACCAGAATGTCTACAGCTCTTACATGCAACAGTGCAGCAAACGTGTCTAACTCTCATTATGTGTGTAGGGAAAACCTGAAATGTTCTTTGACAAACTTGAACTTCAAATACACAAGTGGTATCTGCTACTATACAGGTACATTATGTAGATGAACCATTTCATTCCAGCATGCTTCTTCCTGAAGTAAAGAACCAACAGGAACACATGCCCATGCTATGGTAAGGGAAGGGGTCAGGGATCATGGTCATGCAACACACATGACAAAGGAAGCTTCTGTAACGGCAATACAGGGGGGCATGCTGGTAAAACAATACGTGGTTGGGAGGGACTTTTCACAGGTAAATCAACACAACCTCACCTTTCGACGGGCTGCATGTTTACTCTTGTGCAATACCTATTAAAGGCAGGTAAAAAACACAGTGATAATCACCATGAGGCTACAACAATGCACCTGATTCAAAATGTAATATTATTAGACATTTCTCAGCAGTAACTTACAACAGTTGAACTCTTATTGGATCCACATTTCGCTGAATGTATTATACCTAGTCTAAGCACTATCATTCTAATTTATTATGTCATAACCCGT